GTGCTTCGCGCCACAACAGGCGTGCAATTTTTCATTTCTTGTCTGGCCAGATGGCTCCGCACCCGCCGCTTTAGCGAGCCTACTTTTCGACCCTCCGGAGCCACAAATCATTGGAAAACACAGTGTTTCGCGACTTTCCTACCTTTTCGCGCATCTGCATCTTCTTTCTTCTGACTCTTTCTCTTCTACTCTTCTCTCTTCTAATCTTTCTCTTCTCTCTGCCTCTGCCCTGCTCTGCTTTTCATCTGTCCATATTGTCGGAAGTTTGACTTCTAAACTTCCTTCGATTAATATATATCAATATACATGTATGATTTATAATAAATAGACCGATTGATTAGACAAACAAATATATAGTAGATAAATAATGACAAATACATATAGATATAAATGCACATAGATAGATAAATAATGATAAATAAATATAAATGTAAGTGTCTGTAAATTAAATATAAGCTTAATATACATATCAACACACACACACATATATATATATATAAATGCACACATACACATGTTATATTGATTAAGGTTGGAAAATGGAGACGGTGGAGGTTGGAAAATGGGGACGGCGGAGGTCGAAAAATGGGAACAGTAGAGGTTGGAACATGGGGACGGCGGAGGTTAAAAAATGGGGACGGCGGAGGTCGAAAAATGGGAACGGTAGAGGTTGGAAAATGGGGATGGCGGAGATTCCCTTCCCCGTCCCGCACTCGCAACGTCCTCCTTCACTAACGCAGATTTCAAAACAGGGCGCCCAGCTTCTTTCATCCGTTTCCACATTTACTACCTTTCGTTCACTCACCTTTAGGACTCAAGTTCCATGTGCCCGCTGAGTGACACGCAAAAGTCTTGTGGTTGAAAACATGCTTGCATGTTGTGGTAACAATGCTGTAAATTTGAGTTAGGTTGGGTATTTCCAACTTTTTCCATTTCGTACTACTTTGAGTGTTTGCCATGCGAAGTTTTCTGTTGGATTCTTGCAAGCTGTCAGAAGCTGTCAGTTTGATTCTCCTTCATTTCAGTATATATCATTCCATTCCATTCCTCTGCCTCTCCATTCAGAGAAATTCACAAGTTTTTTGTTCCACTCCTGCTTCAGAAACCTATTCTATTGATATATTTATTTAACATAAGTGACCCTAGTTTTTTTCTCCTGTATGCGGGTAATTACTCTTAGTCTCTATTCACTGTCCATCATTTTGTGTCTCGGCTGAGCTGTTTTGGTGCGTTTGTCAGCGCCTTTTTTATATGCCCCAAATGCATGAGCTCCACTGTACAGATTCTACAGCAACTTTGTGCAGAAGAAGTAGTTTGTCGGAGGATGTTTGGATATCTTTCCACTGGGTGTTGCGCAGGGTTTGATTCATGTTTTTTGCTGATTTCTGCGCTTGAGCCATGAACATGTGTGTTTCTCTTCTGGATGTTTCCAAATTTTGAGCATGTTTGGATAGGGTAAGAGAGGTTCAATCTTTTCCCTGATGCAAAGGACAGCAAGAAATCCATTTATATAGTTCAGGCAGATTTGATATGATTTCAGTTGGTGTGGTTGATGTGGATTGGTTCCTGCACTAGCTGGCCATTGCCACAGGTACTCCCCTCTCCATTGGTGGTGCGAGCGTCTCTGCGGCCAACGATGCAGATGTCATGGCTTTGGCCAGCCGATCCGTGGAACATGTCCTGGCAGCAGTCAAGGCCTCCGCGCAGAAGCAAGAGGAGACATCACCTGCTTCCGTTAGTGGTGTCAGCAATTCATTTGCCCATGATGCTGACGCAGCGGCCTTGGCCAGCAAATCAGTAGAGAAGGTGCTACAAGCCATGCAGCTGCCAGAGGCTGATGGCATTCACAGTGTGGCAACTGATGGGCCCGTGGTGCACCTGGATCAACTGAACCCGGCGGAGATTGCCAGAGTTGCAGCCGAAGAAGCCATCCGCGCAGAACAGGCCGCAAGAGAACAGGCGGAAGAAACTCGAGAGGGTGGCAGCCAACACACCCAAACAGGTGAACAGCAAGCCGATGCAGCCGCGTCTAGCGGGGGCACCAGCGTAGGCCACCATGTTGCAGCTGAAATTGCCAGCAGAGCTGCTGCAGTTGGGTTGGGAGGAGCAGGTGATACTTCAGTTCACGCTGTGGCTCATAGTGATGCGACCTCCCAGCCTGGGCATCCAACTGCCCCATTTGCTGTACCTACAACAATCAGTGAGGTGACAAATTCCCTAGCTCAACAGCCCCAAGCTGACGTTGGAGGAATTGTTTCCACCGCGTTGGCAGAAGCAGCTCGAGATGATACTGAGATGACGGTCGTAGCTGCCAGCGATGAAGGGTCTCTGGCACAACTAGATCCAGCTCAGTTAGCTTTAGCAGTTGCAGAAGCAGAGATTCGAGCAGAAGAAGCCGTGAAAGAGCAGCAAAGGGGTGCTATGGAGAAAGCAGGAGGAGGCACAGACCAACCAGCCCGCACATACACAAGAGAAGATAGGCCCACCACACCTGTGTCCACAGGGGGGACGAGCGTTGGCCACCCTGTTGCAGCCGATGTTGCCAACAGAGCTGCTGCAGTTGCGCTGGAAGGAGCAGGCGCTACTTCAGTTCACACCCTGCCTGCTGTGACTACCACAATCAGTGAGGTGACCAATTCCGTAGCTCAGCAGCCCCAAGCTGATGTTGGAGGAATTGTTTTCACTGCTTTGGCGGAAATAGCTCGAGATGCAGAAATGACAGTCATAGCCACCACCAGCGATGAAGGGTCTCTTGCACAGCTAGATCCAGCTCAGTTAGCTTTAGCAGTTGCAGAAGAAGCGATTCGAGCAGAAGAAGCCGTGAAAGAGCGGCAAAGGGCTATGGAGAAAGCAGGAGGAGGCACAGACCAACCAGCCCGCACATACACAAGAGAAGATAGGCCCACCACACCTGTGTCCACAGGGGGGACGAGCGTCGGCCACCCTGTTGCAGCCGATGTTGCCAACAGAGCTGCTGCAGTTGTGCTGGAAGGAGCAGGCGCTACTTCAGTTCACACCCTGCCTGCTGTGACTACCACAATCAGTGAGGTGACCAATTCCCTAGCTCAGCAGGCTCAAGCCGATTTTGGAAGAATTGTTTCGTCGGCGTTGGATCAAGCAGCACATGAAGATACTCACACGACAGTCATTGCAGGCACTAGTGATGCTGCTATCACCCAACCCGATGCTGCGCAGCTTGCCTCAGCTGCAGCAGACGGAGCCATCCGTGCAGTGGACGCTGGAAAGGCTGCTCGGGCCCAAGGCCCTGAGCCCATCTCCCCTGTCTCGGTCGAGGAAAGGGCTGCAGATGTTCCATATGCCGTGGATGTGGCCAACCGGGCCGTGCAGCTTGCAGTTGCAGGTGAGGGCACAGGCTCCGAGGTTCATACCCTAGTTGCAGAGACGGCCAGTGAGGTGGGTCAGCCTGGAATGCCGACAGTAGTAGACAGAGCAGTGGAAGCTGCTGTAACTGACCGAGAAGAAGAGGCTGTGAGTGACGTGAGCCATTTTCCTGATCACAAGGTTGGGATTGAGTTGGTTCATGATGTCTTGCCGAAGACAATCCTCGATGGACCCCAGGCAGGTGGTGGCACTGTCGTCATTAGCGAAGCAAGTCACGCCACAACAACAAGCAAAGATGCGCAGCGGATGGCGGAGCAAGCAGCAGACCAGGCAATCCACGAGGCTATAGAAGCAGATGGGCCTTTAAGTGTCATTGTTAGTGATGGGGGTGTGACACCAGTTCCTCCAGTTGCAGAGCATCCTGGCACTGATGTGCCAGCCAGCGCGGGAGAAGATGTTCATGCCGCTTCTGCAGCACATGGAGGTAGAGGTGAAGGTAAGGAACAAGGCCATGAAGCAGCTGAGCCTTCGAACTTTGGAGGCAGCATGGCACACCACCCAGTCCAGCCACCTATTCAACCTGAGCGCGGACCTGAAGCGGTCACAACAATCACTGAGGTCAGTCAGGCAGCTCAAACCATGGTCATTGGAGCTACCGGCGACGCTGGGACTTTGCTACAGCCACATGCAGAGTTGCCTGCAGTCGCAGAAGAAGCCATTCAAGCAGACGCAGACAGACAAGCAGATGCATCAGCTTCCCAAAGCAGGCTGGACCAACTGGGCGTCAGCCAAACAAGCATGCAAGGCAGTCATGGCAGTCAGGGAGTGAGCCAGACCAGTTTCCACGTGAGCCAGACGACTTTCCAAGTGAGTCAGAGCACCTTCCAGGCAAGTCACACCACCTTTGACCCAGGAGAGCCAACCCAGTCCACCTTCCAAACAGGTCACAATGCAAACCTGTTCAACAGCACGGCCCCTGCAGTTGTTGGTGTGCAGCAGGGTCCACGGGTTCCGCCGCTTTGGGATCCACATCCACAATCTGATGGCTTCTATGGTTGGGAGGCCCGCTCACCCAGTGATGCATCTGACGCAGACCATCCAGCTCTTCCGGCCGACACCCTTCCCACCTTCGTTCCTGCCGTTGATGATCGGGACGCGACGTTGCCAGCATCAGATTTGCATGGGCATTGGGCTGACCCAGGAGCCCAAACTGTCAAGCCGCACAGTGGCTTCACTGCACGCAGTGGCTACAGTGATGATTCCAGCGGTCAGTCACCAAGACCGGGCCAGCCAATTGTAAACACCAGCATCCTTACCCAGCTGTGTAATTTGCTGAATGCGCCTGATACACCAGACAGTGAAGTGGAAAGAGTGCGCCGAGGCCCACTTAGAAAGGTCAGAACGCCTGAGGAGCAATCGCCTGCATGGGGAGGGGGAGTTCCATCAGCATCAGCAGCATCACCAATATCACCTTTCCAGGCAGAAACAGAGGTGACAATCACAACATCCCCAGCAAAAACCAAGAAGAGCATGCACAGCGCCGCCAGGTCAGCAGATGAAACTTTGCCAAGCTTACATCCAAGCACCAGTGGGCCGCATGATGCATATGGCCATGAAGATGATCAGTCGCCTTTCCAAACAGTGCCCATGTTCCAATCAGATTTGCACAGCCCACCTGAAAGGCGAGATCGCAGAGTGCCAGAGGAGCCAGCGGCCGATCTCTTCCAACGCCGCACCCCCCGCAGCCACCAAGAGGCTGAGGAGCTGGTTGACCCAAATCTGATCTCACAACTGTGCCACTTGCTGAATGCCCCTGACACACCATCATCTGCAGCTGCTGCAGCTGCAGCTGCAGCTGCAGCTGAGGTTCACAAGCCCTCAAGGGCAGCTGCTGCCACAGCTGAAGCTTCCAAGGTCAAGCAGCCTAGCCGAGCCAAACCAGCAGAGGAAACACTGCAGAGACCCTCAGACCCCATGAGCGGATGGGCTGAACCTGGTGAGACACTTCCAATGTTCCAGTCGGATTTGCATTCTCCTCAGACACCTGATGAAAGAAGAGCACGAAGAGATAGAGAGCACGCAAGACACAGAGCTGATCCTTTTGACATGGATTTTGATCAGACGGCCACTGCCAGAACAGATGAGGAGTCCCGACAGCAGTCCTTGGTCGACCCAAATCTCATTGCACAACTGTGCAGGCTTCTAAACCAGCCAGAAACACCGCCCAGTGACACGGAAAGGATCCGTCGTGAGCCACCTCCCAGGAGAGCCAAAGAGCAACCAGGCATGTTTTTGCATGAGAATCATAAGAGCTCGCCAATGATTTGTCCACTTTGAAGTCACTTGGTGCGGGTAGCAGCAGATCACTAGGCCCACTAGACCAATGCAGTAGTTTGATCATGTTTGATCATCATTGATCATTTGAGACGCACTCACACATGGACACGAAAGATCACGAAATCAATTGTGTAGCAACTCCATGTCCACTGCATGACTTGGTGGATGGAAGCAGGCCTCTTTCGGGCCGATCCACAGATTGGTGCCTCGGAACTGCGTTCTGCATCACCGAAGGGGGATCCAGTACCAAAGCAAGGTTCAGTAGGATCATCCCCATGCTGCATCGTGCTGCCGTGTTTTTTTGGTTGGCTGTTGTGATTGAAATCATCGGACAGACGTTACAGGTATTTCTTGGACTGATTGGTGACGCCATGTGACGCCCAATTCCTGAGGTGGCGAATCACAGCCGCACACAGCAAGGAGAACCTTTTTTAGCCAGGGGGAGTTCTTTCAATGTGCTAAGTCGCAATCAAGCTGCGCCGCTGCGCATTTCACAAGGGAGCCTGTGGTCACCTTTGCATTGGTAGGTAAGCTGTACTATACCGAATATATAGAATGCATAGAATGCATAGAAATGCATAGAATGCATAGAAATGCATAGAATGCATAGAACCATGCCGTGCGCATGTACTCTGTACGTCATACTCAAGATAGCGGCCTTATAATCATGACTGGAGAGGCTGCACATTTAATTCACATCTCTCCTCCATGAAGCCCATTCAAGAAAGACCTGACTTAAAGGAGAGATGTTTTGATAGGACCTCAGTGCGAAGTCGTGGCACAGCTTCGGACCAAGCCTCTGGCGACAGTGATGTCAATGAGGCCGCACACACACACACCGATTCGCATGCGGGACCTAGGGGCTTTTGGTGTATGCATGTACATCCATAGATTCAAAGGTTTTTTTTTTAAATGTAATATACTGTATAATATATATATATAGATAGATATATCATATACATATTCTGCGTGTGAATATACAGATCCGTGTGTACATGTATATACAGACCAATACACCTACGAGTCTTGAAGCTGAGTGGGACGGAACGATGTAACAAAGATACGACAGATAGATACCACTTGCATCAATGTGCACTATGAAATGCTTCAAATTTAGATTCCAATCAGATTAGTTTACATAGACTGATGCTCAGCACAACTCACTTCGACCTTCTCAGTTGTGTCAGGCGCTGGAAGAAGAAGTCTTCAACATCATGGACATGCTTTGTTTCTTGGCAATTCCATGCTGTTCCGTTGTGCTTCTTCTGTCGCGCCTCCGCCACTGGTGCGCTGTCCATCCATTTGCCAAGGTGTACAGATTGAAGAACCCCAAGCATAGTGAGGTGTCACTGCCATGTGGCATTGGAATTCATGCAACGGTGTAGGTCGCGATGTGTTTGGAAAAGATTTCCATGTGCATCACACAAAAGAACTAGTGTATTTAGATCTATTTAGCTGGGTCAGATGATGTGGTCATCTCTTTTGTGCGGTCGTTTATGTTGGATAAATGTGACATACTGATACAGAACATGAAGCATGTGACACATTTCGAGGTTTGTCTTCAATTCATTTGCATGACACTGGCTGCCTGGCCTGTAGTCTGCGACAAACGACTCTGAACTCTTTTTGTTTTCTTTTAATGACCGAAGGATGCAACAGGATGCAACATACGTCAACATATTGCAATCATTCTCTCAGGCACTCAGGCCACCTTGCCATGTGGATGTGCGACAACAGCAATCTCCTGACTGGAGATTGCCGGTGCCACCCCCGGAGGGGGAAAGGCGCAGAACGACGGTCATCCGACCGAAAAAAAAAAAACACATCCGAGGGACAGTCCTGATCTTGAACACTTGGACAGACTGAATCAGGCTGAATTGTGATGAATCGATTCGTTCAAAACAGATCAATGATCAATTCAATGAATCTGATCTGAAGAGTCTGAAACTTCGTATCTCATGTGCCTTCCGTAGCTGCGATCTGTATCTCCGCGTTGTCGCAAGTTTAGCCCAGAGAGATCCTGCGAAGATATCCGTAGATTTGATGATTTTGATGTCCAGACTGACCGGAGATGCTCTGATACTTTGATCCCACCACAAAATCCACAAACATGGCATGACTGAAATCTCATGAAATCTCATGAAATCATTGAAATCTCGAGCCAAGCATTGAGATCATTTGAGATCTATGACATCAATATGACACCCCAGATTGAGATGCTATGGCTGCTATGGCTGCTATGGTGATATGGGCAGCACACCTTCCAGCGAGACGGAGCTGCAGGAGCTGGCTGTTGGCTCCAAACAACCTGGCTCACTTTCTAGCTGTTGCATAAATACATCATAATATGATATATCTATCTCTATATATCTCTATATATAGATTATTTATAATATATATGGATGTAGTAGACCAAGATGTCAAAAACCACGACCTGGTGATTGGTAACATATCACAACTTCGTATCACAAACCGGTTTGCTGCTTATGCTGCTTGCGGTGTTTTGTAGTGTTCAAGTTTGAGGAGGGATGCCTGACACGGGTTTTCCCGTGGAGCGACATGATTCATCGCCTCAACGATCGATTGATGCTGCGGGGCATCGTTTCCAGAGACCTTTCGGAGGAAGAAGTGCTCCAAGTTCTTAGCAACGAAGCTGCAACTGGAGCCTGGCTGGAGATGGCTGGAGTATGTCAACAGATTTCCCAATGGCTGCAGGATTTGATCGGTTAGCAGTGCAGTAGAGTCATTGACGTTTAATTACTGAGTATTACTGTAGATGTTGAGCCGCCATGTTTCGCCCCTGCAGAGCCATAGAGATGTTCATGTCCTTGGTCCCGGTTTCACCAGGTGATGTGGAACCTCAACTGCTGCAACTTGCTGAGTCGTCTGAATCGTTCCTACAGCTTTGTCCCGACCCGGGCGAAGCAGAAGAGTCCATTCCCTCCAGTGCCATGGTGCCTGCGAGCTGGGCTGAAAATCTGCTGGAGAAGCAGCTGGGCTTGAAACAGACGCGTTTCCGCTTGGTGCCGAGCAAAGTCTCGGAGGACAACTTCTGGGACCGCTACTTCGCAGCCATTTTTCGGCTGTTGGAGGCTGAACTGACAGCATCCAGAAGCGACCAAAGGTCGAGCAAAAACTGGGCCCGTGCAGACTGAACGTGAGCCAATGCCACTTCATAGTTTACAAAGGTACTTGCCGAAGACACCCCCAGGTCAGGCTGCAGCATCACGGCGCCACATGATAGCTGGTATTGCAACGGGCCAGGGCATATGCCAACACCTTGGTCCGCTTTGAAATTTGGTGCCTTCAGGTCCACGTGACGTTGTAGGCGTAGCTGGCGTAGCTCACTTGCCCTTTGACTTCTTCCTGTAAGTCTTGCAGGATGTCACTGGTCGATTCTTTCTGTTTTTAATGGTGAGAGCACGATGTTCTTCCAACATCCTCGCCTCCGATGCCATGTGACCAGCTTCAAAACCTTAGCTTCAAGACAAGCACGGAAGTAGCTGAATGTCCAAAGCAAGCGGAAGGCATAGCAGGAGATCCATCATTGAGCAAAGAAAAGCCTTCACAATCGCACCACACCTCAAGCAATTGGTTGGCCATCGCTGACTCTGCAAGAAGCCAAGAGTTTCCAACTTACACTTACTCTTCTCAGTGCAGAGGGATCATAGTATGCGGACATCTTGCTCAAACTAATGAGAGATTTGTTTATGAAATTAGGCAAGAGAGAGAGATCAGGTAACATAATCGTAGCCGTATTTGACCACCATTTCTCACTGCTCCCCAGATCTCCCAAGCTCTTTCAGATGAATGGCGGGATATCTGGCCGGCCGGGAATGCTGTGCTTCTCCAGGGCCTGGTGTTGATGGGTGATGGAGTAAGTCCTCCATCTGCGTCAGGTCGCTTCTCTCGTTTGGTGACTCCCCATCTCAAAGACGATGGAGCCCCAGGCCGCGGCACTGGCCCTCAAGGGGTCCAGAGAGCCAAGGTACAGGTGCGGGGCGACGTGCCACCGTGGGAAGCTGTGAAGATCATCGGCAGCCTGGGAAGGGAGACCAAATGGCAAGATGCGCTGGCTCTGTTTTGGCCGCTGCATCGGAAGATGTCCTACAACACCAGAGTTTGGAACGCCGTGATCAGTGCTTGTGCCAGTGGTGGAAGCCGATCATGGGAGGCTGCTCTGGGTGTGCTGGAGCGATTGGAAGCTGATCCCTACTGTGATGCAGATGTCTTTAGCTGCCAGCCTTGGAATGAAGGGACATTCCTGGACCGAAAACATCTGACAACTCCAAGCTCTGCACACGATGCCTTTACTTAATCAATCTTTTACCTGACCTATTCATGAATCATAACTGGTATGGTATACTGTATACACTTGGCCCACTTGATTTTGTGGCAGCCTTTCCAGACAGAAAGAGACATAAGGGGGTAAACGATCGAATGTTTCAACATGTTTCAACATGTTTCAACATGTTTCAACCACGCCCCGTGTGATTGGCCTAGGCTACAACGCAGTACTTGCTGCGCTCATGAGCACTTGGCAATTGGATTCGGCCGTCCGGCTGCTGCATGATCTGCCTTCACGTCAGATACATCCTGACACCTGCTCCTTCAACACGGTGATGGGTACCTTGGCAAGGCAACCGATGCTTGGCACAGGAATAGTCAATTGAGTGGGCTCTTTCTCGAATATTTTGGATGGTTATACTGTATACTGTATACTGAATAGTTAGACGGATACTTACTCACATCATTTTGGATTGTTATGCCTAGCCAGAGGAACTCCCCAGGGGACAAAGATGGATGACCATCCTCGATGATGTGGCCCAAAAAGTGAGTCACGAAGTCGCAAACTTGGCATTTTTTCCAATTAAGAGTAATTCAGTATTTCCAAATATTTCCAATCCAATGTGGTTGTGTTGCACAGATGTGCCTGAGAGGAAATATTGCAACATCGTGCTCTCCATGCTGGAGGAATGTGGCAAAGGCCCTGGGCAAGATGCGCAAAGCTTCAACATTGCCATTGCTGCCTGCTCCCGGGCAAACCAGTGGGAGAAGGCCATGTGCGGCGGGGAATGGGGGAATGGCTGTGTGTTGGGATTTCATATGGGTATGGATCAATACCTATTAATACCATTTTTAGTGGGATGAACATCCATTTACCAGCTATTTTGGGGTTCACTAGGTACCAGGGTCTTGACACACTGCCATATATGCGTCAACACCCTTTTTGATCCGCTTTCGGGTACTGGCATCGCTTAGCAACATAGCATCTCGACCAAAGAGGAAGTTGGGTGCTCAATGCAGTGCGCCAGTGTGGAAGCCAGGCTGTTTGAGGCGTCTTCTAGACTCCTAGCATCCTAGCTCCTTCAACCGCGGAGGGCTTTAGACCACATCATACTTCATCCCTCCCACGGTGAGCATGGTTTCATAATGTTTCAAATATTTAAATTTTCAAGCATATTTGGGATGATGACCCCCAACGACGAACCTTTTTCAGGGAAGTAACGACCAACCAGAGAATATCACTGGCCAATAGATGTCAAGAGTACTAGCGACTTGCCAACTGCAGGCCATCGATTTGCTTGAGGCCGGAGAACTGAGACCGCTGCCGTTCCTGCAAGCGGCTGTTTTTGACTTTGGCCTTACAGTGATTCATGATGATTCATGATGCTTGTGGCCGTGAATATTTCATCCAATCATGAGTGAGAGATCTCATTATATAATTATGAGCGACACTGGCCTACACAAGATGTGTCGAGGTGATGCAAAGCACTCGGCATCACCCTGATGCATACAGCTGGCGCCCAAACATCCAAGGGATCCAAGGGCATTTCTCAAACCGCGAAGATTGTAGAAAGATGCCACATACACACGTATGCATATGCTATGATTAATAATCTGCAAACGAGAGACAGAGGGAGAGGAAGTGACGACTTTTCTCTCTTACTTGCCGTTTCTCTTGAAGGGCATTGCTTCAAGATTCCTTCTATAAATATAGGGTGTGTCACATGAAATCTCCCACCTCCAAGGCTATACCTCAGCCATCTCGAGTTGCAAAGCCGCCTCACAGGCTAGGGGGAAAAGGTGGTTTAGGCGAACAGAAGAGGCAGTTTGGTGCATTTCATGGAAACACGCAGGCCCACATTTATTTGTTTGCTGTTCGTTTAAAGTCCTACACCCTTTGTCACTCTTTGTCTTCTGGGTGCAAGCAGAGCGGCGGGTAATGGGGACCAATCAACATTTCTGCATATCTCTGCTCTGGAGCAGGCTGCGGAGCTGTTGCGCACCATGAAAAGGTCAAGGCAGTTGTTGCTGCCGCTGTTGGTTCTACTGTGCTTCTGTGGGCTGAATCTATGCTTTTGAAAGATCGGATTTCAGGCTGCAAGCCAGCATCGTGACCTATGGAGCTGTCATCAGTGCCGGCGCAAGTGATGGGCCAGGGCCCATAGCATGCCAAAGCTCCCCAATGCTCACTGCCCAGCAGCCTCGCTCAAACTTGTTGCAATGAAGATCAACAGGGTCGAACGTGACTATACTTGACTCCAGGATGTCCAAAAGATGTTTCCTCCAGATGATTCGCACTAATTTGTTCAAGCCACTGAGAGTTTCCGGTCATACCTCACACAGGTTTGCTTGAAAACATGGCACCCCTAAAAATTCTGCAGTGTACGGTAACGACATTTAAATATGTGGAGGGCGGGCCAGACCGCGAGGCCCCGGAGGTACTCGTAGTATGAAATACGAGTTCGTATATTTAAATGGCCGGGCGGGCCAAGGAAAACCTTTCCGCAGGTAGTCTAAATAAAATACCTGTTCGATCCTGTTCGCATATTTATATAACAGTCCGTATATTTAAATGTAGGTACCGTACCGTATGTACACAAATACATATATGTATAATATATATAATATATATATATAGATTTATATATTTTTTACATATTATTTTACATAATATTTTTATATGCATGTTTAATTTTGTAATGACAACTTTCCAAATTGAAATGACTACTTGGGTGTACAATTTGAGAATAACATTTTCAGAGGGCCACATCCCAAATCCCAGGGACTGGAAAGGAGCACTTGCCTTGCTGGATGAGGTGGGGCATCGCCATTGTCATTCTGATTCTCATATATTATATATAATATAATATATATATATATTAAACTGTTCTTATCGGCATCATTCTTGTGTCATGTGACTATTACTATAATATATGGTCAATGATTGTTATTACATTGTGGTTCTTGGTACCATTATTAGATTGCTACGGGTGTTACATTTTTGTGGTTTTCGGTATCATTATCCACCAGTTTTCAGTGATTTCATTCAAACTCGTTCAGGCCAAGAGTCAACAATTGGAAATTACTACCATCGCTTTCAACGCGATCATCGATTCGTCAGCGGCCCAGTTCAACCTTGTCGTCGCTACAGAGAAACTGTGACGCAGCGTTGAGGTGCGAGAAAGGTGCTCAATGGGATTTGGCATTGCACTTGCTGCAAGAGATGTTTGGGCCTCAGGTGTTGGTTTGACTTGCTGGTGGTGGTGCATTTCCCTACCTGAAATGATGCTTTCTGATTCAGGATTTGGGGTGATTGAAACCTTTATTTTGCTCATTTAGTAGATGTTGGATGCCAATTCACCAGCTGCACTAGGTCGGATGAGAGGATTGCGCGCAGCACATCCTCCTACAACTCTGCGTAGGTACCCAAGTTTGCTGAGATGGTCCTGGAGGTTGCAACCCCTTGGAACTACCATTGGCCACCACAAATTTGGCCCATTTGGAACCATTTGGAACCATTTGGAACAGGGCATTGCTTAAATATGAAGATCTAGTGGTAACACAGTAACACAGCTGAGTTGCTGGCTATGTTGACTAAGCATTAAGGGTGCTCGCCCGAGGCTTCGTGCTTGCGGTGCTTGCCGGCGTTGGCAAAGATCCGCTGGGCTGTTGGATGCCATGGCAGCTGACAGCTGCAAGCCTGACATTGTCGCAGGCCAAGTTTATTGGGAAAGCTTCCGAATGCTCCGGAAAGCAGCATGTTTTGGCCGCTGTTTAGATGGCCACCATTTAAAGACATTTAAAGTTAAAGCTGAGGTCTCCTTCACTGGGGTGATTTCAGTGCTGACCTTGATCGATGAGGATTTATGCAGCCTTTCTTTGCCGCAAAGTAATGCCATTCTTTTTGTTCTGGAGTCTATGTGCAATTTACGTCAATTGGTGGGCGGGTTGAGATAGCAGTTAGCAGCTTTCATTTTCACACATTTTCAGGTCGTCCGCTTGAGTTCTTATGATAGAAACTTGGGCTGCCAGAGGCTCGCCTACCGAGGCTTGTGTACGGGGTCAAGCCTGGCAGCAGGCGCCGCATTGCAACATGTGCCCGGTGTCTGGAGAATCACCAGCCCCTCCCATCGGATCCATCGGATCCATCGGATCCATCGGTTGGGATGACCCGAAGGCTCTGGAAGTGAGGAACAGCATCGATTCTCTGGGCCTGGAGTTGGACGAGGCTCGTTTAGCATTGAGCATCACAGCATCACTTGTACTATCTTAGACATATTCAGAAGTCTGCACAATAGTTCGGGAGATAGATTAGAATATATAAATAATATAGTAGATTAATGATCACTCGTGATAGCTACCCATTTTTTCCTCCCTCTCTTTCTTCCTTTTTTCATGCTGTGTAGATGACATTAAGTGACATCTGCCAGCAAAGTGCCATGACTTGGAACCCAAGTCGAGGCCACCTGGACGTGTCTTCTCACAGCCTGTGCGGTGGGGCAACAGTGCGCTACCCAGATGGCCAGATGGCTAAGTTGAGGAGAACGATTTACATGATAGCTATAGTTCTTGATGGTCAGTATGGGATAGTATGGGAAGAACATGGAATAAGTAAATTATTTTTCCATACTATTCCCCTAAAATGGCATTGTCGTTTTCACTTGGGGGATTATTGCAACTTTGCTATGTGGAACCCTAGGCTTTTGACTCTGCACATCTTTGCGCAATGTCCTTATAGAAAAGAGAGTGTAACGCCACCAGGTCCCCGAAAATGCGTGGTGTTGAGTTTTTTGATATTTTTTGTTCTTTTTCCACACATTTGATCATATGAAAGATCAAAGTTCTTGGGAGATGTATTGTTTTTGGTGTGTTATTCCTTAGCTCTATTCTTGGCTGCTTGCTTTTTGTAGCTCCATTGGTTTTTGATAGGTGGTTTTAGTACATGAATGCCAAAGTTCTTTGCCCAATAACGTCTTGAAACATAGATATTCATTGTGTCAATTGGTACTTATATATATATATAGGTACTACCTAGGTATACAGCTGTTGCAAAGATGGTATACATATATATATATACACATACACACGCACACACACACATATATATATACATACGTATGCATATACATAGCACTTTGTATTTGCATTGGTGGTCTTTGAGATTGGACTGCCAGGTTGCATTTTGGTTGACACGACAGTTCCAGTGGAACCCTTATAGCAAATGGAAGTGCAAATTCCAGTTTACTGTCCCTGCTCAAGTAATCGCGATATTTTTTTTTTTTGCATACTTCATGGTAACTTGCTGTGACAAGCAAGGCAGCCATTCTGTAGATACAATTGTTTGGTAAGGTTGCTTAAGTGTTTCTTTCGCTTGGTTGTGTGCCCTTCTGGTTTCCATGATGAACTTATACTGACATAGTTTAAGTTTTCCCACAGTCATGAGTACTGGTAATAGAATGTCGGCCATTATATCTGCAGTGACACAGCAAATTACCATGGAATATACAGGGGAAAACGCCTTTTCTGAAGCAAGGGGAACTGGAAGTGCCCTTGGAATTTGCCAACTCTTGTGATCAACACATATTTTAAAATGTTTTAAACAAAGAGCTGTTATTGCATTAACACCTGGAAGAATACCATTGCATATGCAGAAAAAAATGTAAAAATCTTGTGTCTGTAAGGGCATAGGTGGCTTAAATGCAACCCATTCCATCACCGTATGTACTATATAATTATATAAGAAAGACGCGTTTGCATATAGAAAATAATTGCATTCTAAGTGCATATGCCGCTTGGATGTGTTGACACAGCAAATGGCTTTGGCACCTGCCAAAAAATGTATTGCTTATATGACAAGGAACCCATTAGATATCAGTGCATGTTTGAAGCTGCCATTTCTACTGTATATATATATACTGCACACTTGTGACAACGTCCTTGCATACTGGTTGAAACTATTCACCCGCTAAAGCACAAATAACACGTGAAACTTTTCATACAGTATACAGTATATAGACCAAAGAACTAAGAACAGGATTGAGTATTGATCAAAAGGGTGGAGAAGGGACCCATTTCCATATGAATGCATTGTGGGAGCTGCTACTTCCTAGTCCAATGTGTTGTGTCATAGCTGTTTTCTGTCAAGTTTTATAAACAGTCTTAACTCTGTTTGGGTGTGACTCATCCTGTCATAAAAGCACAGCCAGACAATTATGGCAATAGGGTACCTGCATTAGATATGCAGTGGCATAGCAAATTACTCTGAAATATGCAGGAAAAACCCATATTTTTGGAGAAAGGGTAAGTTCGAGTTGCCCTTGCCGTTTGCCAACTCTTATGATCAAAATCAGTTGCAACCAAAGAGTCTTTATTGCATTCAATCCTGGAAGAATTCCATTACATATGCAAAGTACATGTGGGAAATGTGTATACGTATTGGTATGCGCTACTTATGTACCATCCATATCATAGACGCATACAGTAGTACGAACAAGGAAAATGCAAGTCCATCAATGCATATATATATACACATACACAAATATGGCTACAGTGACATTCTAAACACATATGCGCCTTGGGCGTGTTGATACAGCATATGGCTATGGCATATGCGGCATCCATGTTGCCTATATCTCAAGGAGCTCTTGAGACATCAGTATTTACTTGAAGACTGTTTTTGTTAATGGTATTCAAACATATTTTATACGTGTAGCGAGATTACTATATACTATCATATCTGAAACTATTTCCTCACTAAGCACAAACATTACACGTTGTTTTTTTCATGCGCCGGATCAAACAATAAAAACCAAGTCTATTACTTGCTCAAAAACTGGAACAACACACCCTCTCCACATAAAGCATGCTGTGTGGCGGTGCCCATTGTGTTATAGTTTTGAAAATCAAATCAAGGTTCGTACCATTTTTTTTGGGCAGCTGCTCATGCTACGTCATGCAACTTCTCAGGCTACGTCATGCCGTTGTGCTACTTGCCACTTGCTTACTATAAATTTTGCAAAGTTCTGTCAATATGCCGTCGCATTCTCTAACTTAGAACTATTTTTATTGTGCCGGACCCGGTCCGGCACGGTCCAGCAAACAAAGACCCCCACAGGGACCTCCCAGAAGCCTCCAGGAGATTCTAGGAGGGGGTGGGTTCCAAAAAAAAACAAAAAAATGACCCCCCCCCCCTAGAGAGCATATAATATATAAAATAATATAACTGTATATATAATTATATATATATATATTATATTTGTTTGCTCCTTCCTTCCCTTTCCGTAGGGATCCCTGTGACTTTCTGGGGATCTCTGGTAATATCTTTGGCAATCTTTGGGATTCTCTAGAGATCTCTGGGGATCTATGGGGATCTCTGCAAATCTGCAAATCTCTGAGAATCACCTAAAGAACAAAAAGGAGAAAGGAAAGAAACTAAAGTGGTTTCCAATGTGTTTAAGGTTACACATGTTAATCCTTTCATGACATTAAGGAACATGATCTAATTAAGGGTATGTGAACATAAATGATCAAACAGGATGTGGTAGAAACACTTGATTCCTCAAAACGTGCAGAAATGGGGACCTGATAGAAAATGGGTCACTTACAGTTACCCTTATGTTCACCAAACCATAGCTTATTCTTATTTTTTTAAAACTTGAAAAAAAGCGCGAAAAATGCAAAAAAAGGAAAAACCAAAAAGCAAATCAGCAAAATCCAAAAAACACAAAAGCAAAATAAAAGGGAAAAAAAAGGGAAACAAAAAGGAAAGACAAAAAGGGGGAAAAAATGGGAAAAAAATGGACTTGTCCATTTGCATTTTTGTTGCTTTTTTTTTGCTTTCTCGATTTGCTTTTTTTTGCTTTTGTTTTGCTTTTATTTATTTTTATTTTTTGCTTTTTTCCAGGCAAAAAGCAAAAAAAGCAAAATAAAAGCAAAACAAAAGCAAAAAAAAAGCAAAAAAAAACAAATCGAAAAAGCAAAAAAAAAGCAAAAAAAATGCAAATGGACAAGTCCATTTTTTTCCCATTTTTCCCCCTTTTTGACGTTCCTTTTTTTTCCCATTTATTTTGCTTCCTGTTTTTTTTGGTTTTGAAGTTTTGCTTTTTGATTTTCCATGCGTTTTCTTTTTTTTTTTCTTTTTTTTCAAGTTTTAAAAACATTAGAATAAGCTATAGAGGTGGACATAAAGTTACCCCTCCCAAATGCCATATGGTTCGTTTGTCCAGTGCTGCTGCTGCTGATGATGATGATAATGATGATGATGATGATGACGACGACGACCACCATTATTATTGTATCATTACTACTGTTTCTTTTTTTCTCGAATCTTTATTATATGTTTTTATTTCCAATGACTATATCAGACTATATTCAGATGGGTGGGAGCCACCAGCTGTTGCTATAGACGCCAGCTTTTTTTCATAGCTCGAATTGCGAGGTGGCGGACGGCGTGGGGATTCTATGCGGAGAGCTTTGGCAGCACAAAACCAGCTTTTGTTGTTCTGAATGGATTGGGACCCTGAAACTTTCACCTCACCAGAGTCAAGACGTAAAGAGCACACGACAAAAATTGGGCGTGAGATTCAAGGCCACCCAAATCAGACGCACTGTACTGTCCACAATTTTCCTTGCAACCTTCGAGCTCCCTCTAATGATCACTATGAGTATGCCCGGAGAATTGAGGTGTTTCAACCTGACCGGAAGGGAGCCGAGGATCTCAGAAATGAGCTACAAGAAGCTTCCAGGAACTTCACAATTGCAAAGCCATGCAAAGCCTTAGTTGTGGTCACGACGTGTGCAACTCATGGGTGTTTTGGTTTGTGTTTGGTGTTCCTGGGGAAGGCATTGTGGTTTGAGAATTCAGTGATCATAGTGATCTTGATCAAAATCCAGTCCCGGATTTGCATCCAAGTCATCCTGCGTCACAAGGCCCAGCATCATCATCTCAAATGCCCTACTTGGCGCGCTGGAAAGTATCTTGGTGCCATGGAAGGTGGCAGTGATTGTGCACAGATACACGCAGACATGCTAACTATAAGAAGATGCCATGCAGATACTTACATGCACAGTTGGCTAATATGTGCGTGTGTGTGTGTGTGCGTTTTTTTTTCCTCAGGGGGTTTGTATGATTGAATGGTACGTGCGCATTCAGAAGAATCACATTCACAGGAATTTCGTTCATGGTTGGAAGGCGATTCGCTTTTGCTTTTGATGTGTGTTGACATAGAATCTTTCGCCTGAAGCTTCAAATCCGAGGAGCAGGACGATGGAGCGAGGCTCTATACCTTCTGCAAAGGTTGAAAGGAAGAGGTGCTCCTTGGAACATCTTGGAACCATGGGCCCCTATGAGTTCCGCATTTTCCGTCGCGGTCTAGTTCTGCGCAGCCAAACCAAAATCAATCTCCTGAAGACCTGAATTATCCTGAAGTCATGGTGTCAGCGGCCGTAGGTGCCAACGAAGTGTCCTACAGTGCCACCATTGGCGCCTGCGGCCGCAGCAGCCGTCTGGCGCTCATCCAGTTTTCTATTTCTCCCTTTGGCTGAGAAGAGAAGCCTGTCAATATGCAAAGTGTTGGTGGGCCTGTTCAAACGTTTGGCGCATTTCCCTTACTGGAGCCAAAATAGAATTGGGGGAAGGCCAAGGTTTCCAAGAAAACTATTCAATACTTTGGGGTTCTTTACTTCCAGCTTGGTCACCCACAATTTTTGTGCCACTAAGGCTGGGAGTGGTCTGTATGGCTGCTGGCCGAGCTCCGACAGCAGGGCCTTGGGGTGCAAGACCCCGATGCTGGCAGACGCTGGGCAAGGACCTTAACTGCAATTCTGACAGTCCTTGCGGTCTGGGGCGGTTGGGAAATCTTTCAACCATGCTTTCTGGAACTTGCCATCAGTGAATCAAGGCCATTCCCTACTCTGCGACGGTCCAAGCTTGTCGCTGGAAGCCAAGATTCTCCAAGTTTTTCTAGGGGTGTTTGCGTGGCTAACACTGAAAGTGCTTACATCATCTTCCATCACTCTTTTGAATCACACCTGGTGATAAGGATTGGGGGGATCCCAAGCATCCACAATTGACCGGGGTATTTTTTTTTGGGAACCCAGCAATTGTTTCCAGGGTATGACGTCAAGCAAGTTTGGCTTGACGACCGAAACAACCGCAATGAATTTCAGAACAAGCTCAGACATTCCAGAATGGATTCAGATGGCGCAGAAATGTAAGACAGGAGGTTGACCATGGTATTCCTACATATTTCGACATATTTCGACAGAGGAGCGCCACCAAGGCCCCAGCCGTCGATGGCAGGAGGCCCTACTGGTGGTGGGCGCCATGCGCTCCACAGGTGGAGCTGACAGGCGGTCCCCGTCGAGGGTTTAATGATGGTGAGCTGGTTATGTACTGGTTATGTACTGGTTATATGACCCAAGTATAGCCAAAAATGAGCGGGAGAGAGAGAGAGAGAGAGAGAGAGAGATATATGTATATACACAGTGGGATATATTATGATATTAGTTGATATTATGATACAGCATGATACAACCTACCCGATTGATTGCGATGTTCGGCACATTTGGACAATGATGAAGACGAGTTCCACAACCTTGAAGCAGTGCTTCCCAGGCCTTTGTCTGTGTGAAGTCTATGTTGCCGATCAAAAAATCACCCGCAGCATTGGCTCAGATGTGCAGCTCAGCCTCCATGACTTGCAGTACGTTGCCATCAAATGTCTTAAAGCCATGGGGAATAACATACACATGCAGTCCCAAGAGTCAAAAAGGATACTAATGATACCTGTCTGCTGATGTACGTGAGAGTGTGTCTTATCAGGTAAGCTACATCTCTTACTTTTGAATCTTGATTGGAGCATTTTTGTCACTATATTTCGGTCGCCCCCGCGCCTCTTTGCAAACTCTCCAATGACAGAAGCAGAGGCACGACGGGGAATCGGTGGCCACAGCCATGGTTTTCATGCCTTTGCTCCACACCATTTCACATCATTTCACATCAGCCAGTTGATCGATTAATATCAATATCACTGAATCATATCTAAGTAGCACCCCCAGCTTAAACTTTGGGCCTTGAATCCAGCCTTGTTCGATTCACCTTGTGCCACAATATAGAAATTCCATGAAATTCCAGCCCTTCCCACGTCACCAGGAAAGCAAGGAGACCAAGGACGGCACCGAGGGCACCGAGGGCGCCCTGGGCTTCCAGGAGGATACCACCGCAGACCCGTCCAAGGCCACCGAGGCCGTTGAGAAACCCGCAGAACCGGCAGCGCAACCGGTGAAGCCCATCTATTTGGCAGGTGAGGGATGGCCGGCCAGGGATCCAAAAATAGGGGCATAGTAGGGGCAATGTGGGAAAATATATGGAATGTTGTGCCAGTTTTGAAGGTGAGGAATGTTCTAACCTGGATGATTTTCGATGTGCTTGCGAAAGTTAAGTGTTTTATTTTTCATGACTCAGTCATGAATCAGCTTTGCCTGTAGTTTAACATTTCAAGTGGCAGTGGAACCTTGGCTTCAAAGTGAAACCTCGACGCCAGAGGCAGGGCCTTCACCAACCGAACCGAGCTGCAAGACCATGTCAAGAAGATCCAGGATGGGATCAACCTGGTGTCTCAGGGACTGTTGGGGCTATGAGGTCATGACATTTGCAGATTGAACCCAAGGGATCCAAGAGATGGACATGATCAAAAGCAGAGCAGTACATTCTTATGATACATAATGATATGACAGCATATTATATTATGATTGTGCTATATGATACAATGAATGCAAGACAGCGTACATAAATACAACATATATACAGAGGCACAGCACTCATGCATTCATTCAGCTATGCATTCAGCTATGCATAGATACATACATTAATTATTTCATATTAATTCCATCATAATCATTCATAAATATTCACAGCGATTACGCAAACAACATCATTGCTCCCTCCAGACATTGTTCGGTCCCAGCGATGACCAATGTACATTCCGTTGGAAGTCATCCTTAGTTTGGCCCGAAGGACTCGAAAGTCAACGAGGATGCCAGCAAAGGTGATCTGACCGTTGAGGACTCCGGTGGGGCAAAGTCCCAAGTTGGATTCCAACAATAATGCACAATTTTCATGTTGATTTCAATGATTTCTGTGTCTTGAAAGTATCACCTCAATGATGAGTGAACTGTGAACCCTGGAGGAGAACCTCTTCATTTTTCATCTTCTGTTGCATCATCCCAAGGCCTGTTCATCTGGAGTTGCACCATGGGAAGTGACGGTGTTGGTGCTGGTAGATCATGTAGCCTTGGTACCAGAAGCACATGAGAAACACGTGACGTCAACACGTGACGTCAAATGCCGGCGTAACCTTTGACCTGATCCCTTGCTGTCCTTTCTTCTTTTGGCTCAGGTAGATTAGTGTAGCTGGATTGGGGAGCGAGCAAAGTCGTGGGGATTGTTCAAACAAATCCGAGATCATCCTGGGGCACACAAGGCACTCCAGCCGCACAAATTTTGCCCGATCTCATGAATTTCAGTCACATTCCAGGCTAATAATAATTATATATATAATTTGAATTTGTTTGCATTTATTTGCAATAGTTTTATGAAATTGAATAAATGCATGTTTACATTTCAACAAGGTCGATCCATGTTCATCCCACCTTTGTTCAACGCTGTGCTCGCCATCCCTGGCCCTCCGGAAACCGTGCCATGGGATGCGGGGCCTCGCAGAAGGCGAAGGATCCCCAACCAGCTACAGCTCCTGGAGATGCAGATGGGACATCACAGGCTGGGGCAAAAGGACAATCGGACCTATTTGGGGATCATGTAATATATACACCATATATATAATTATATGTGTGTAAATACATTATATATACAGTATATATATTTACGACTATATGTAAAGACTTCTAAACTTCTTTTGATTATATTATATTTATCATATAAATATAGATATGGATGTTCTCGTTACTTTTCATTTTCGATAGGAACCGACCAAGCTTTCTGAAACCATTCCCATGTCTTTGCGTGCCGACGACTCGACTTGATTGTGTCTGGCATGGAATAAATACATACAAATACAGATATAGATATGGACATGACATAGACATATGATATATAATATATACTCTCAGAGATGTAGATAGTTCATCATATTTTATATTAATTATATATAATAATAATTATTATTATCATTATATATTATTATTTATTCCATGTGTCTCTCACGTGTATCGATTTGACATGTTGCCTCGAATGACACTGTGACAAGTTCCGACAAGTCTCAACTTGTTCCAACAAGAACAGCATTTTTCATGCTGCGCATTTTCTAGGCCCAGGCAGGCCATCTTTAATTTCAATGGCCCGGGCCATTGAGAGGCCGAGATATATTGAGATAATCATCAGCAATTAACCATCATTAACCATATTAAACATGATGGATATTAATGATGGTTATTGATGGATATTAACCATATTTAACCATCAATGATGAGTTTTTTAAATTCCAGCAGTTCCAGCAGCAGCACCAGGCTCTCGAGACTGCTCCGAGCCACGGAGACGGCGGGCTGCCAGAAGCGCCAGCACCAGCAACGCCAGCAACGCCAGCGACGCTTCGACAGCCGGGCGCCGAAGCCGTTAACAAAAGCTATCGGAAGGCATCCCCGAAAGCCGTGCACACGTCTCCATCAGCGACATCCGTGAGAAGGAGACGATTGAGTGCGCTATATATCGCTATATGCTACAGTTTGTGACCAAAAAGAGGTTAGATGAAATGGATTGAAATGGCAAATAATGATCATTGTAGATGAACATGCCCAAACCCATAACTAATTATTCATTGTCTATTTTAATACATTTTGGAGCTGCTTACTGGTGCAACAGCAGTGCATCAGGGGTTTGACATGTTTTTACCCTGCACCCAAATGTTTTCACACGACCTTGAAACAAACATATTCTCCTATGCTTTGCCTGCCAGGAATTCTGCGCCGGACAGCTTTGCGATGAGATCACCGACGCTGCCTCCTTCTCCAAGTAATCTCACGTACCAGGACCGTTGTTGGTTTGGATCTTGGTAGGTCAGGCAGAGAGACAGGTTGATACACACATATATATATAATATTATAATATATTATAATATATTATATTATATTATATATATATATAAATTCATGCGCACATTTGTGATATTTGTGTTTCTATAATGTTCTGACCTAAAATCTTTGCACCGCCAGGAGCCACAGCTCCCTGGCCTTCCCGGCGCTGTAGAGAGCCCCAGTGGCACGCCCAGTGGCACCCAAGGTGTCCAAGGGCCCGACACGATGAAGGCCAGTCCCAGTGCTGCCAGCACCAGAAGCGAGGAGACCTGGGGCATTGTGGGGGACATCATGGGACCATGGGTGGGGGCCTGGGGAGTACACCACCAGATGGTATGAAAAAACATGATATGACATGATGCGTTCAATGGGAATTAAGGTGATATCGGGTTCATGAGCAGCAAGGTTTCGCTGGGCTGTGATCCTTTGATGGGTGTTGCACAGAAACGGCATCTGTGAGGAGATGCGACGAGAAGTCATAAATCTATCCATGACAACGATGATGATCAGAGTCATGTCTGTCATGTCCAAACGGTCCAAACGTGAAGCCACAAGTTTGACGGGGTTGATCGATATTTCTAGAGTGGACATGAGTGGACTTTCAGCCGGGGTTAGAAACAAGATCAGCGGCGGTCCGGCGCTTTCAGGAGAAGCTGATGCAGAACTGCAGTTTTGCTTCTTCGACCAGCCCTTTGAATGCCGCAAGCTCCTCAAAAACCGAGGAGAAGGGACTTGGAGGCAAGACCCCCAAGCGGCTCGCAGCAGAACGTCCCCGTCCCAATGGTCATTTTGCAGCAACTGTAGCCGGATCTCTGGGATCTCTGTCCAAAGAGGAAGGTCTTACAGATGAGCAGATGGCCCAGTTGGATCAGATCTTTAGCTTTATCGACAGGAACCAAAATGGAAAGTTGACACGAAAAGAGTTGCTGATAGCTTTGAGGAAATCTGGTGCTGTTCGCGCACTTTTGAACATCCCGGGCCACGAATTAGTGGAAGTTCAAGCAGACTACGAAGGTCAAGGCCGTTTGGGGTCTGCAGAGGCTTGGTGGTGTAGTTTGACAGAGGAAGATGCTTTGTACAGGGCGGACTTTATCAAACACTTTGCCGAACACCCACAGCAGGCTCTCAAAGGGATCCTGTTACTCGAGCGGCCCAAATTCTCAGCGACACATGAATGGCAGCCTGTCCCCAAGGGAGCCGCATGTCCACCAGGCTTAGAATACAAGATGGATTTAGCCACAGGAGAGACCCTGGCGCGGCTTTGCGAGCAAAACATAGCAAAACTGTCAGTCTTATGCAGACTTTTTGAATTGAAAGTGATGATGTCAGGATATTTGATGATATTTTTGAAGATTTGCTGAATCATGTTTTTATATATTTTTATATATTTTTATATGTTTTTCATGCCCTCATGCTCTTGGTTTTTTGGATGCCGTCCAAACAAGCTTCATGGCCCCACGATTTGGCCTTTATTTCCCCCGAAAAATGATCAAAGGCGGTGGAGAAGATGACGAAGCCCATCTCGCACTTCAGATATGGCACCTATGATGCTCGGCATTGCTCGGCGCAACCTGAGAGATGCAGTTGATGTTTTTAGCACCTTGAATCACCTTGATAGGGAGGCAGGAGGACATAGGAGGACATGTGGTCAGTGCCAGGTGTTCTTTGCTTGGCACTCAAGTGTTTTACCCCTCAGGATAAGTTCAAGAACAAGTGCTTCATCAGCGTCGCTGTAGATGGGCCGGGGACTAACAGTCTAACAATTCAGCTTCAGTATTGCCACTGTCATGAGTTGTCAGCAGATTTTGCGACACACTTTCTGCAAGGACTGAGGAGGGCGTAGCTCGACTGCAGATTCAGCAACTCGCAAGTGGCTCTATGGAAGACTGAATTGTTTGTATGTTGATGTTGGTGGCCTGCCCTGATAAATCCTTGCCACATCGTGAAGATTGCTGCATTTGTCCAGGTGAGTGCTGCTAAAAGAAACTTGTTTGCATTTAACAGTCCATGCTGGTTCGTGCGTTAGATGCATTCATGCGCAGTCTTTCTGGCTGGCTGCGATACATGTAGTTGACCCCTGCCCATATCAGGAAGGGTGGAACATCCATACATCGCTTTGGTTTTACTGGACAAATCTATGGTCCGACCAATCATGAAGATGCAGCGTGAGACCAATTGGGAAGTGAGTGAATATATCCGTGTACAGCCCGACAAGCAGAAGTCTTAGAATTTACTATAAGTTGAGATCTGATCTTTACATATCTTTACACGGTCAAGCCACAGACGACTATATATACATCTTCAGATGGAGCCGGAACCAACGGCGAAGTACAGGTATCTCGAATAAAAAAGAATATATCGTAGATCAGCCTACTTGTAGCATGCAACATCCCAATTCATTGCCTTCTCATTGCAAGTAATTGGCATTTGGTGGGAGCAGTAATTAGCGCATGTTGACACTTCCTGCTCCCACCAAAATCACCAAATGGTCAGGGACAGGTTAGCTCGGAATGTTTCTCGAATCGTCCGTCCGCTGTGAGCAATACATGCGGTATGTATATATATATATACACATATACCTGAATCTGAATATAATAATGCCTAAAACCACCGCCAAGCATTTGGCCCTTGGACTTTGGACATTTTTTGGCTTCCCTTTCTTTTGGGTTGCGTTGGACCCCCCTTTGGTCCCCATCTCTGGGTGGTTGTCCACAACAGCAATGACGTGACCCTGATCTATGACCCGCCCAAGGCATGAGCGTCATATTCCCAAACACCAGTGGCAACGGGGCCGCAGCCACCAGCTCTGCCACGGCCGGGCTGGTGGCTGTGCCTCCTCCTGTCAGGGGTCCCAAAAGGGGCAGCTGCTGGTACGTTTCCACTCACCCCCTTGTTGTGGAAAGGTTTTATACAGACAGAGATCATGACAAGCATGGTTCATGTGAGGTCAAAATTCTCACGCAAAGGCTAAAGCAACCACCTATGTACATACAGGAATGACCTAAGCTTAGCAGACAGTGCACTTGGATCCCATTGCGCAGGACGAGAAGAAGGAGAAGGGGCAGAAACGAAATCGTGAAGAGCGACCTCCCCCAGAGCCACGAGTCTTCGAGCCGCAGGTGGGAGGCCAAATTCTGAAGTTGACATTGTGGGCAAAGATGATGAACAGCAAGACATAGCAAGACCAATGCCAATCTGTGGCAATTTATATCAATTTCTAGATTACCGCGTATAGACAGACACTATAGACACGGATGCAGAACCTTGAGGGGCTTGGTAGATTTTGACTGCTTGATGTGCCTCGCCGGACTCTCCCATGACTCAGGAAATGGTGAGAGGATGTGTGGTAGCTGGGAGCCTAGTAACCTAGTGCAACGTAGGTCAGCAAAGGCAATGACAGCACAAAGAGGCCAGTCCCAAACTTGGGAACTCTCAATGAGTGCCTTCGACTTCCCAAAATTGGGGGACCACTACCCCAACACTGTATACCCACTGGATTTCTTTCAAAATAGCATAAAATAGCATCCTTCAGCATGATTTGTCTTCCATTATTTGATTTTGGATTTTGGGTTCAACCAGACGCATTCAGGACATCAAAGGCTTACCGCCCAACGTGAACTACGGCAGGTCAGGGGAGGGGACCAGCAGTTCCTGCAAGGAATCGCAGATGCGAAGCGTATTGTAATGAATAATCTTGATATATCCTCTCATATCCCCTCTATGTATTTCTTTATACAATAGAGATCCTTTGGTCCAGAATTCTTACCTGAAAATTTTTCTTAAAGTCTATTTTAAAGGATGCTCTTTTGTGTCATGCTTTTCATAATTTAGCGCATTTTATTTGCCTCTCCAGATCTTACTATAGGAGTTACGGAGTTTGCGGGTGGTTCCAGCTTTTCCTCAGTCAGAATCATTGCTCCACTGTCCAGACATGTCCAAACATTGATCATGCTCCCTGCCAGGCTAAAAGAGCTGTTGAACGGTTGTGGCAAGGCGGGGGCATTTTGCCTCACTTGGCTTAGCCAGCGCCATTGCGAGTTAGCAGCTGATGCAGCTGGCAGGTGAAATTCCTGCAGCTGTTGAAGGTGCCCAAGGCATCCAAGGAACCTCCCCAGAAGAAGGCCAAGGTCGAAGAGGACCCCCGAAACGCGCGGAGTCATCCTGTGATTGGCTTGGAAAGGTTGGACATGTGGAGATTGCTGAGTTTTCTTGATTCACAACAGGCTGCAAACACCTACACAACCAGACTCTTGATTATGACTCCTGATATGACTTGAGGTGACTCGTTGTTTTCTGTTCTTGATTCTACTTGTTTGACCTTGGAGCTCTGATGAGGGTTTTGGCTCAAGTGATGCCCCGCAAACTTCAAACGTTCAGACATTTGTTCCCAAATTAGCACGAATTAGCCAGTCAGCTATGAACGTCTTCTCCAACCAGCTCCAAGAGCTTCTCTCATCCTGTAGGTTTTGCACGCAGTTTGCAAGCTTAGATACTTTGAGATCGTTGTAGGCCAAAGAAAGACAAGAAAGCAGTATATATCTATATACAAGTATATAGTACCCGGGCAAGCCGGGGGCGGAAGTTTCAAATTTGAGACGCTTATAACCTATAGAGCGGAGCAGAGGCTGTGCCGCCTATAGGTGACAGGCAAGCCTCCTGTGCATCGCAGCAACAAGCTCTTGACTTGTCAATCTGATGCCATGTCTTTCGAATGTTGAATCTTTTCTCATTTCATCTTATCTCATCGCATCGCAGCTTCTCTTGGAAATTGCTCATTGCATCCCTCTGTCACCGCAGTCTGTGTCATTCCATTTGATCTCAACTCATCTCATGTCTTCTGAGTTTTTTCACCTCATCTCATCTCATCCCATCTGATGTCTCCTCTCCCTTTCTCAGCTCTTCTCAGCTGATCACAAGTGTTCTCATCTCTTCTCATGTCACCTGAGCTTTTCTCATCTCTTCTCATCTCTTCTCATCTCATCTCATCTCAGCTTATCTCAGCTTTTCAGATTTTCACAGCTCTGCTCAACTCTTCTCAGCTCTCCGCAGCTCACGTACTGTAAGCTCATCTTATGTGTTCTCATCTCTTCTCTCCTCTTCTCACATCTTCTGAGCTCTTCTAACATCTACTCAGCTGATCTCAGCTCTTGTCAGCTCGTCTCACCTCATCTCTTCTCAGCGCACTCTCAAATCATCTAACGTTTGCTCTGGCCCAAACCTGCTCCAAAACGGATCTCGGCGCCAAAGCAAGCAACCCCTACGCTTTCCAAAGGGAAGATTTGACACAGAGAAGCTTCTACACACAGCAAGCTTTGAAACAAAGAAACTCCTACATAGAAAAGCTTTTACACACAGAAAGCTTTTACACAGAAGCTTTTACACACAGAAGCATTTACAAAACTTTTACACACAGAAGCCTTTACACAGCTTTTACACACAGCGAGCCTTTACGCAGAGAAGCTTTTACACACAGAAAGCTTTTACACAGCGCAGCTTTTACATTCAGCAAGCTTTCACACAGCAAGCTTTCACACAGAGAAGCTTTTACACACAGAAAGCATTTACACAGCAAAGCTTTTACACAGAGAAGCCCTTTCACAGAGAAGCATTTACACAGAGAAGCTTTTACACACAGAAGCTTTTACACACAGCAAACTTTTACACAGAGAAGCTTTTAAACAGAGAAGCTTTTACACCGCAAGCTTTTACACAGAGAAGATTTTACACGAGAAGCTTTCACACAGAGAAGCTTTTGCACAGAGAAGCTTTTACACACAGAAGCTTTTACACAGAGAAGCTTTTACACAGAGAAGCTTTTACACAGAAGCTGTTACACACGGCAAGCTTTCACACACAGCCAGCTTTTACACAGAAAAGCTTTTGCACACAGAAAGCTTTCACACAGAGAAGCCCTAACACAGAGAAGCATTTACACAGAGGAGCTTTTACACACAGAAGCCTTTACACACACAAGCTTTCACACACAGCCAGCTTTTACACAGAAGCCTTTACACAGCAAGCTTTTACACAGAGAAGCCCTTACACAGAGAAGCATTTACACGGAGAAGCTTTTACACACAGCAAACTTTTACACACAGAAGGCTTTACACACAGCCAGCTTTTACACAGAGACGCTTTTTCACAGAGAAGGATTACACTGAGAAGCTTTTACGCACAGCAAGCTTTTAAACTGAGAAAATCTGCTGACAAATCACTATCGCGGCCATGATGCAGCCACACCAATACGATTTACGATGTAGAGCTGCAAAAGATAATAATATTACGCACGCAGCCGCGGCGCCAAGCAGCCTTGACGAAGCCATTCCAACGCGATCTGCGAAAACATGCGAAAACTATCGAAAACTGAGTTGCAAAGCACAAGAGAACCACGCGCAGCAGCGTCAGAAATTGCAGCTCCAAAACGCATTTCGTGCGAGACTCTCCTCAAGAATTGAAAGTGGAAGATATGAAAACGAAGCTTTCGTGCGAGACTTCGCTCAAAAAGGGACAAATGGAAGATGTGAGAACGAAGCTTCCGTGCGAGACTTTCCTCAAAAAGTGAAAGTGGAAGATATGAAAACGAAGCTTTCGTGCGAGACTTCCCTCAAAAAGTGAACGCTCTAGTAGGTGTGAAAACGAAGCTTTCGTGCGAGACATGTGATAGTGGTGATATTGTGATATTGGTGATGTTGTGATAGTGGTGATAGTGTGATAGTGGTGATGTTGTGATAGTGGTGATATTGTGATAACGGTGATGTTGTGATAGTGGTGATGTTGTGATAGCGGTGATATTGCGAAAATGGTGATTTATCATAGCGGTGATTTTGTGATAGTGGTGATGCTTTGAAAGTGGTGACTTACTGATAGTGGTGATATACTGGTGATATTGTGATAGTGGTGATGTTGTGATAGCAGTGGTATTGTGATAGTACTGATGTAGTGGTGATGTTGTGATAGCGGTGATATACTGGTGATATTCGGATAGTGGATCCCCCTTACCATTTCCACTACTAAAAGGGTGAACACGTGCTTGGTACCATCCTCTGATTCGTGGATAATTCAAGCAAAAAAAATGGACCCGTGCACCAGTTTTTGTAGTAAAAGGGTGTGCACTGTATCTTGTAGCGGAGTTCCATTTTACACTCATAAATCGGAAACGCATTTTGTAGTGATCTATTTTGGGATGCGTTGTGTCGTACCGGAAGCCCTATAGCCCTCTTTTACCAGTCATGCTTGGTCACATGAACATATAGCTTGGACCCTCAGACCATTGTGGCTCTTGACTCACGATTATTTCGTGGTAAGATGAGCCCCCAAAAAATCGAAAACAAACAAATAATGTAGAGACTTTAAGAGGGAAAAATGGGACAGACTTGGTTTCAAAACCCATCAATTGAATTTGAAGTTGTGCGCTCAGATCAATTTTGCTGCCCCATAGCTCTGACGATTGCAGTTCAAAACCCCTTGCGCCGTGCTTTTGTCACACCTTTTTTGGCCATCACATGCGATTATTAATTAAAATCTAAATCTATCCCATTCTACTAGGTTCCTGCTCTTTTTGTCCAATAGTCAAGTTTCACCCCAGTTCAACGAATCCATGCTCAGAGTTCCTTCCACCCACAATGTCACAAAGCACAGATTCGATGCGTGATGTCCTAGTTTCTGGATGCCTTGTGTCATGCACTGCATTTTGTAGTGACACACGCGTGCACAACCTTTTGTAGAACCTACTGCGACCCCCCTCCAGATAAGCCCCAAAAAGATCGAAAAGCATGCTTTTTATATAGAGACTTTAAGAAGGAAAAATGGGACAGATTTGGTTTCAAAACCAATCAATTGAAACTGAAGTTGTGCGCTCAGATCGTTTTTGCTGCCCCATAGCTCTGACGATTGCAGTTCAAAACCTCTGCGCCGTGCTTTTGTCACACCTTTTTTGGCCATCACATGCGATTATTAATTAAAATCTAAATCTATCCCATTCTACTAGGTTCCTGCTCTTTTTGTCCAATAGTCAAGTTTCACCCCAGTTCAACGAATCCATGCTCAGAGTTCCTTTCACCCACAATGTCACAAAGCACAGATTCGATACGTGATGTCCTAGTTTCTGGATGACTTGTGTCATGCACTGCATTTTGTAGTGACGCACGCGTGCACAACCTTTTGTAGAACCTACTGCACCCCCCTCCAGATAAGCCCCAAAAAGATCGAAACACATGCTTTTTATATAGAGACTTTAAGGAGGAAAAATGAGACAGATTTGGGTCAAAACCAATCAATTGAAACTGAAGTTGTGCGCTCAGATCGTTTTTGCTGCCCCATAGCTCTGACGATTGCAGTTCAAAACCTCTTGCGCCGTGCTTTTGTCAAACCTTTTTTGAAAGGTCAATTATTGGAATCCGATGGTAATCCCAAGGTTGTATTTACTTGTGCTCGGCAAATACTATGACCTGGGCCCCAGTAGCATTTCCCCTAGTAAATGCTATGACCCATTTAGTAGCGAATCATGATTTTTCATGGCAACCCGTTTTCACTACAAAATGGTTACGTAAAGTCATTTTGTAGTGACCGACATTGGCTTTTGATCCATCATAAAAACACCCAAACCATTTTGTAGCAAGGGGGGTTGGTTCAGATTCAAGCATCATTTTGTAGTATAAGGCTGTGTTTGTAAACGGTTTAGTGGGCACAACTTCTCTGCAGAATGCACACAGGGATGATAGTGGTATATACTGGTGATATTGTGATGGTGGTGATATAGTGGTGATATTGTGATAGTGGTGATGTTGCGTTTTTTTTCAAAATCCGCTACACGGCAGTTAGACTTCAAACTTCCTTTTATATAATTAGATATTTTATTTAGATATATCCCGACAGATCCTGACAATCGAATTGCAAGATGCCCGTTCAACACGGCAAACTGATGGAGAGCTAACGATCGACTTTGTTCGGGGATGCTGGCGAAGAAACTTTGGCTAAAGCAGCGGGAGGGCAACGAGCCGGAAGAAACTGGCAAAGAGCCACGACCTTAGCTCTCTGCAGGGGTGGAGTTCTGTGGTTGTGGATATTGTGGATGCGCGTGGTCTCTAAGAACAAACCGGATTTCAAAGCTGCAATGCCCCCAGAAAATGTCATACGCTATGAGTGATTCGACCCAACTGATCATTAATATCATTGATGTTTGATGTTTGACATTTCTGCACTGCGCTAGCAAAACTGCATGTTGCGCAGGCCGCCGTTGAAGCAGGCCCGCCGCACTGATGGCCGGGCAGTGGCCGCTACACTTCGTGCCCGCGAGAGCGCCCTCTTCCGACCAGTGCGGTCCATTGGTGCAGTGATAGATAGCACGGGCCTCAGCTGAACGCATCGAACACATTATGCATAGTGTGCATGGGTTATATGGGCTGAATGCAATCGACCAGCATGTTCTTGTGACTGGGCAGCCTACGAAGGAAAGACATGCTGAAGTCATCACGTGGCATGAATCAAGACTGAAAATTTGACTGGAGGGTGTCGAAGGTACCTAAAGATTTAACGGTTTTGACAGGTTTAGATGTATATCTTGACGTTCTGCGGTTTAATTGCGATAATGTTGTGATATTCCGCATGTTCTGTATGTGTGGCATTGCTCAACAGGCTTGCCCTTCTCGTTGCAGACTCTGGGAGATACTTCCTTCCTCACAGCAAGCGTGGGGCGGGGGTTTCGAGTTTTTGAGTGCAACAAGCTGAAACTTTCTTACATCGGCCCGCGCTTCAATGAGAAGGCTCGGAAAATCAACGAAAACAACTCATGTTGATGATCGATGTCTGATTTCTCGCTTTGAAACTCCCCCCTTATATGCTCTTGTTGAATTTTCATCATTTTGTGAGGTTCGGGCTTTGGTTACCGTTGGCGAGACAATCATTACGGCGCTGAAGTCGGATATTGTGGTGTGGCACAAGCTGACGGAAGTTGGCCGATTCCGTGGCCATCATTTCTCGGCCACTGTCCTGTGTGCGGTAGGATCCACCTACCTGCTATCAGCTGCAAAGCACGAGCTGATTCTGTGGCAGTTGTCGGACATCGGCAACCGGGATGCTGAAACCAGCATTGACAGTGAGAAAAGCATCTTGGGCCCATTAGGTCGGCCCAAATTAAGCCAAACTTTTGGAGAAGTGAGCTGCATATGTCATCCACCCACCTACTTGAACAAGGTCTTGGTGGCTGGATCTGGTGGCCAACTGGAGCTGTGGAACATCCGCAGCATGGAGAGGATCCATAGCTTCAAATGTCTATCGACCAGTGACTCACAGGTTCCCATCACATCGATGAAGGAAGCGAATGCCTTGGATGTGGTGGCCATTGGTTTTGCAACTGGCCGCATTGCCTTGATGAATATCCGAGAGGATCGAATACTCTTCGAAGCTGGGACCTGTTCAACGTCCGTTGTTGAAGCCGTTTCCAACATTTCTAAGAGGCTGTTGGAGAATTTTGGATCTTTGGGATTCTGTTACTGTAAGTTATTCAGTTGTTTTTCTCAGCGAGAAGTGCAAGCACAGCAGATGGCTTCCGGTACATACTAGATAATACCAGTCTTATGATCATTATCATATATTATCATGATCCACAGTTCTATCAGTTCTGACGGTAGCCATCCACAAGAGACTTCATCAAATCTAAGCAGTACTGAAGCTTCTCAGCAGTGTGATCGACCGACTAGGAACTACAGCAAGCGCAAGGCAGAGTCACCTGTTTGTCCTTCAGAAGTGACGACAACTCCATGCCCCAGTTGGTCAGCGGAGCACCCTCAGGTGGAAGATAGTGGAAGTGGAAGGGTTGGAAATGGGGAAATGGTACAGGGACAGGTACAGTCTTGGATAGTATTTGTGTTTTTTTTGGGTATTCCTGGTTTTCTCGAACTTTATGCAGACTTGTGAATCATGTGTTTGATTTTGAGTGTTATCTTGAACATCTCTGACGGAGACCTGATGCCGAGCGAGTACTTGCTGGGGGCTTGCATTTGGGGCTGGTGAAATAAAAATTGTAGGCCAGCCCTTCTCTACACGGACCAGTGATCCTAAGTCGACTCCTTTTTGATATGGGTTGAATTGGGTTGATTACCTTTCCATGAGCATCAAAGCTAACGTGCCAAATCTACTTGTAAATCAAAATCTTGCTGTACCGACCAAACCATTCCCAATTTTCCGAGAAATCGGTGGCATGTATTGGAATTATATTAATATTGCCATATTCCATCATATATATCATAATTATCATATTCATATTTCCATCCATATATCCATCATATGTGTGTGTATATATATTTATATAATATATACTCTATATATATACATAGATATATATCATATATTCACATATTCCATCCACAATACTTGAATGATATACTATAGGATATACTGTATTTTCATGAATTTTCTGAAAATTGGATATCTTAAATCAAATTATATATATATATACAGTATATGGATATGTCATATGTTCCCATAATTTCTGGCAGTTGAAAAAACCAATGGGGCCAGGTGATTTCGTGGTCTGGGACCTGGAGAAGCGTCGCATGCATCACCTGAGGGAAGCGCATCGAGGACCCATCACCTCAGCGCAGTTCCTTCCCAAGGAACCGCTTCTGTGGCTCGGTGCAACGGGAGAATCATGGAAAATCAGTGGTAAAATGAATCAATGGTAAAATCTATGGTAATCATATAGTTATAAAATGTTATAAATATAATATATATTTATATATAGTTATTTGCTGATGAACTTGATGTTGATGATGTTGTTGATTGATGCAATTATATGATTCAATAACCTCTTGAAAAATCATGATGAATGAATAAATACCCTAATTAAATCATTCACGAGTCCCAAAAGAGAAATCGAGGCAAGGAAGAGATTCTACATTGCGGTTTTCTCTTAATTGTCCCTGCGTGGTTTTGCGTGATGAAGGCTGATAAAGGATGAAGAAGGTCCATATGAAATTCTGACAGCTTAGGATCACCAGCAGCAACGACAATGCGGACCCAGCCTCAGTACTCCAAGACCTGACCAGTTTGATACTCAATAAGAGCAAAATCCATGAAGTGGTAGGTGCTTCCTTTGCTGGCATGCAGCCATCGGTAATATGATTTAAGCATATCTAAACCTAAATTAGACATAATTAGATTATAGGGAGACGTGATGGCGATGAGAGAGAGAGAGAGATTTGAACCTAGGGTCAGCTTGCAGGTTAAGATGTGGATCTTTGACACTGCAGATGGGATGTCTAGATATTTGCACCTGGTCTGAGAAAAGAAATCGCATTGGGGTGGGCTCGCTACCACGCTTGATCAGTGATGCAGTGGTGGACACCTCATGTGGCTCAGTGGGTTCCAAGGAAAGGCCGTTGCGGCTGTCCTGGTCCTGCTCACCGGCTTCAATTCTATGGGGAAGGTGCGGTGCTCGCATTGGTGTTGGATGCTGATGTAGAAGATGTCAGAAGCATGGAGGTCCTTGTTCGATCTTGTTTGCATGGTTTGTCATGGCTATCATGTGCAGCTCTCACACTTTTTTGTGCTTTTCTGGTGCCCTTCTCGTGGGGATTGCTCTTGCAGATGAGCTTTAAACCCGTCAATGAAATCTACGTATTAATTGCGTTTAAATGGCATTAATAGCGTCTAATGCGCGCTTAGTGACCCCAACTTTTGCGCTATTAATGACCCAATTTTACGCGCGCTTAATCCACAGTCTCCCCGTCAATGTTGAAGCATCAGTTTCTTATCCAGTGAAGACCTTGGAGACTGGACCTCAACCACAGCTGCTCCGCCAGGAGATCGAGAGCTGATTGTGGGAGGTGGTTTTCAGGGCGCGGGCTTTTTGTCGAAGATTTCCTTCATCCAGGATCAGCAGAATCAAGTGCCTGGGCAAGTGGATCAATGTGCATTTAACCATTTTAAAAGGATTTAAAGCAGATTGCCATGGCATTTGGACATCCTTTATTGCGGCATGTTGGTGGTTTGCATTTCGCCCGGTCCAATAGATCTCACTCGTGAGAGGCAGAATCGACATAAACATTTACATGATACTGCCCAGCCCAGTCGCAGAGTCGTTGTCGCCCGATGTTGTTGGAAAGGGTTGAAACAACAAGTAGCCAGCCATAGCCAGCCATCAATCATTAATCTCACAGTGCATCAATGATTCTTCAACTTTCACCGCGCATTTCCTGAGGAATATTCTCAAGCGTCCTTGAAGAAGATGGACTCAAGGACCAAGGAGGGAGGATTTCCTGGGGCCCTACCGCCTGTGATCGACATGGCGGTGTGTGAGGTCCGCCACTATGACTGGCCAAGTGTGGTCACAGCACACAACGGGCTGCACACTGCAATGGTTTGGTCGGCATTTAACAAGGCATGGTTGCGATGGTTGGGCTGAACATTCCATCATATCCCTGCCGTGTTTTTTTTTAAATATGTTTTTCCGAACCATTTCTAAACACAACTTGGGTATCCTTGGGTGCCCTGTGAAAGGCGCTGTCAACAACCGCCCTGACGCCGCCAGTAGAGTTGAATGGTGGGAGCCCTGTCTCTGCAGTGGCTGTTCCTCGGTGCTTGTTTCTGCAGTGGTTTGTTTGTTGATTTGGTAAACCACCAAGCGGACTCTGAGTGCATCTAATAAACTGGATATAAACCGGCACAAGGTCACAAGGACCTCAATCGAAACATCTCGAAACAACTCACAGTCGTATCCATTCCATCCCATCCTTGCCATCGTACCACAGGTCAGCAGCTGCGGTAACTACTGCGTGTTGGGCCTGGAGAATGGAGCGCTGCATCGCTTCAATCTCCAGTCAGGGCTTCATCGTGGCACTATCCCAAAGGTAGCAGAAGGTGAGCCGGATCCCAACTCTTTTGGTGTCAAGGCCAGATGCTGAACACAGCAGGGCGGGGCATGGGAGATTTGGTTGGCTACAGGACGGTCCAAACTGTACAACTCAGAAGCGCCCTGCAAAAAGTTGCATTTTTCCTACTTGATGATGATCTCTGATGATCACCACATTTTAATCCCGAAATCTTACATCATTTTGCATATTTTGCATATTTTGCATATTTTGCATATTTTGCATTCCATATTGCTATATATTGCTAACATCAATCTTGTGCCGTCGGGCAGGTTCCCAAGAGACCGGCGATGGCAAAGGTGCCAGCAGCACCTCCCCGAGCACATCAGGGACGTGTTTGTGGCCTCATAGTAACCAACAACGCGCAGGTTGTGTCGATCGCCTCACATCCCAAGGAGTGTTGCTTGAAGCTCTGGAACTTGGGAAGCCACGAGTTTTTGGAACAGATCATGTTGGTGAAAGGCAAACAAGGCCCCAGTTGCAGTCTGATGAGATCTTTTGGTGCTTTATTTGCAGTCTGCTTGGGAGATGGCAGCTTGCCAGTGGCTGATTTGAATAGCAAGTCAGTGGTGCGCACCTTTCATTGCGGCGTTCCGGCCACCGATTTGGCGTTTGCCCCCGATGGGCGCTGGTTGGCAGCTACATTGTGCGATGGCGGCCTGAGGGTCTTTGATCTGCCCGCGGCACGGTGCATTGACTCCTTCATTTTTGCGCAGCCTGCGATGGGGCTGTGCTTCAGCCCCAGTGGCGCCTTTCTGATGACAACCCATGCGAAGAACAATTCCATACAGGTTTGGGCCAACAAGCGACTTGGAAACAATTGACATCAAGTGACGTTGTAGGATTGTAGAAGCGTCTGGGGTATATGGAGTGGACGGGAAAAGGTCTGTGTGTCCCATAGCAATTTCAATCTTTGCAGTTCTAGGAGCGAGCTGTTCGCTCTCTGCATCCTTTCGAAGGCTTTCGAGGATAAATGAGCGGGTGGATGGCCATTGTTTATATATGTTCATGTCACTGACTCAAAATCGGTCGCAGCTGAAATTCTTGTTGTAGTGGAAGGGCTGGATTTGGGAGCTGTGGGGTAGGCAGTGGGTTTTGTGGTGCAACATGGGGCAACTAAGGTTTCTCTTTGATCCATCGCTCTCAGCACCGCTTCTTCGACCAGAGCCTGAACCTCCAATCAACGTAGAGGAGCCTGGACCCCCAGAGGAGGGCGCTGCCGAAGAGTCCAATGATGAGATGGAAGATGATCATATCACACCCCTTGGCCAATCATCCACCACCCCACTGGATATCTCTCTGCTAACCTTGTCCGATGTGCCACCTGCCAAAGTCTTGGCGACTTTGCATCTGGATCTGGTGAAGGAGCGGAACAAACTCAAGGAACCACCTAAGCCATTGCCCAATGCGCCCTTCTTCCTCCCCACTGCGCATGAAGGTGTGACACCGCGTTTCGCCGCACCCTTGGGGGAAGAGGAGAACGATGCAGCCATGGAACCAGCACAAAGGCCTTCCCTCTTTGAGGAGCTCACTGCAAAGGCAGATGTGGCCAGTGCCTTGGTGATTTTCACCGCAGTTTTGCATTTTGGATTGTAGATGTAATTATGATATTATAGGCTTGCGTATCGGTTTTTGATATGCTCTTAATTTACAACCACCATGAAGTTTTGCAATCATCCTCATTGATTCCGCCTTCGCAGTGAGCACATTTTCTGGTTCCTGGAGCATCATAGAGTCACTTGCTCAATTTTGCAGACGTGCCGCAATGGCCTCATGTTTTCTCAAAGCCATGGCCAAGTCCCCAAGGTTTGCCCTTCCAAACCATGCTGCGGAAGCAGCGCTATGACAAAGCCCTGGAGTTTCTGAAGTCCCAAACGCCTTCCGGGGTCCATTTGGCCTTAGAGCAAATAGGCCCAATGGCCAGTGGAGATGATCTGGAGCTTCAAGAAGGCCATTGGTATCCAATGGTTATCCATTTGGGCTACATGAGCACAGCCGGCAAGAGTTAAATTGACTAATTGACCAAGTCCAAACCTGCAGGTTTGAAGTTTTTCCTGCACCACGTGACGCAATCGCACTTTGCCGATGAGGTGCTGGATACTGATTCAATCTGATTTGGCCCACCGAAACAGCATAGAATCAGATTCGGATATATTTGGATATATATATAGTATAATTATATATATATATCATTTGGTGAAATCATTCAGAATCATCATGGCTCCATGGATTTGGCGCTTGGTTTGACCGCCAGGTGCAGGCCTACCTGTCGTTATTCCTAGCCGCTCACGGAGAGGAAATTGCTGCCTCCAAGGCTGGACATGGGTCGCATGCGTCAAGTCAGGTGTGCAGCAAATGTGATAACCAACCGGATCTCTTTTTTTTCCTTGGCTGGGGGGGACATATGGGGAAATAGAAGCATAGATGAGAAGGATTGAGAAGGAGATGTTGGAAGATGGAAGAAGTACCTTTGGATTGTTGGATGATTCTTGCTTGTGGTGTTTCAGTGGTCAAAAAAGCAGGAATAGCAGAGAGTCCGATGAACCTGATCAGCGTATGCAGCTTGATAGGAGCTTCAGGCTTTGTGCGCAGAATTGGCCACTGCCCAGGCTCACTGGTTTACGGTGTGATGTTTCAGAACCTTGGTTATCCAAAACCAGGGTTGACAGCTGAATATGGGTTGAACATGATTGAATAATGCTGACTATAACGTGTCACAACAATTCGAATCGGCAATGGATGTGGACAGGAGAACAAATGGTCGTCGCTGAACACCAGGCCGGCTTGTTGCGAAGGAGGTAATCACATGTAGTCGTCAATAGTCGTCACATGTCGTCACTACTATTGGGCCACCCGATGCCTGCATTGCTGAGTATTTTGGGCCCAGCTGCTTCACAGGTGTCAGAAAGCGCGCTGCTTTCTTGGCATGTTGACACAGACGCAGTCGCAGTGGTGACAACGATGCAGAGATAGGCGGACCCTTGCCTCGCACTTGGGTGCAGTAAGATCGTTCCCATGGGCAGAAGTGGGGAGTAGTTGGACTGTGCAGGATGAAAACGTGAAAGGACTTGTCATGTCTTAAGATGTCTTTAAATACCATTTTCCACAGTTGGATGCCTTGCATTTTTGTATTTGCTGAGGCACCAGGGGGAGTACTGCAAAGCAGACTTCGCAGGGATTGCCGCTATCCATCCGTGATTTATGGCAATTATGAATAGCTTTGCTCCAGCTGGAGCTTAGGAAGTCTCTCGCAGCGGCGCAGCGGCGCAGCGGCGCATCGTCAGAAATGACTGCACCTGCAAGTAAGTAAGACAATAAGTTGCATGCATGATCGTGCATGTCATGTCAGTTTGGGGGTCGTTTGGAGCAACGGAGAACTTCAGGCCAATGACCGCAGAGTCTCAGCTTTTGACTAGGAGGGAGCGGAAAAGGCTGATGCCGCTGATGCCGCTGAAGGAGAAAAGGACGCGCTGCTTCAGCGCTCTGACACCGGGGGCCGCGTGCGGTGTCCTTTGGTGTCCTTCGCATTTGAGACTGGGATAGGACGAGGATCCGGCAAAGGAAGAGGAAGCAGAGGAAGAGGAGGAGAGTTTGAGCCTAAAACAGGGTTAGACATGTTAGACTGCCAAACAGCCAGAACTTACCGTGATGGAAAAGGAAAGGAATGGAAAGGAAGAAAACGATCAGCTTGCCTATGGAGTGCAGAGTCCAAGGAAAAGGATCTGAACATTGGACATATATGAATCATATATGAATATAGTTGAACCATGTTGAACCGTTGAACCCTAAAATACGGAAAGAATTCGGATCCAGAAGGTTGGCATACGATAGGCTGGCCGAGCCAAGCCATGGGTCGAAATTTGCAAAGACCATCAAAGACCTTGGGATTGAATGGATTGATCATGGTGGGAAACCATCCTATTTTTTACCCATACCAAGTTGAGGTGTTAGACTGTTAGACTCACTTCATAAAAAGGGAGAGCTGGAAGGGCACTCCAATTTTATCATGCCGGGCTTGAGGTCCTGTGACGGCCCGCTGTCGTTTTGCTGACCCAGAGGTTGGATGGGTCAGTGGTGGGTCGACCATGCCACATCGGATCCTGTGCCTGTCCTACGCCTGTCCTGTTGTCAAACCAGGGCGCCTCTGGAGCTCTTACAGCGCTGTCGGGTGCAGAGGCGCCAGGGCGCCGGCCGATCAAGGTTGGAAAATGGATGAACATGGTATTGATATTATTGATGCAGTTGAGTGGGCTGGTGGGATTTGGTTGGCAGGTACAGGGCGCAACAGTGGAAGTTGCCCTTCTGGAAGGGGAGGAAGAAGAGGCTTACTGGGAAGAAAGCAACAGGACTCCGCGACACCACCAGATGTTGCCGATTCTTATTCTGCCAACCTGGGCTTGATCCCTACCTGGGCGAAAGGAAACGAAAGGAAGCCTTTGAGAATCCGAAAGGCAAAGGGAAAGATGGCAAAGGAAAGAAGGGCAAAGGCAAGGGAAAGGACAGGCTACTGTGATGCGTTCCTGTGTCTCTGAAGATGTAAGTTTGTCGTCTCCTGCTGTGTGTTACTTTGCCATGTGTTTAGTATTGATCGTATTGATTGTCGCCTCATGTGTGACAACCACAAGGGCAAGAAAGGAAAGAACAAAAGCGACGATTGACGCCGCCCCTGCTGACACATGGCTGAGTTCCTAGCAGAAACAGCACGAGAACCGTGTTGATGCCACAGGTGAGCTGGTGTCAACTGCAACAGGAGGTGAACCATCTAGCAACCTGACATAACCTGAGCATAGATGATCATAGATGGACAGAATGGTGAGTTATACATCGTATCCAAGGACCAATGGCCCCACTTGTATCCAAGTGGCCAAACTGAGTTGCACAGCTTTGCGAAGAGCCATGTACAGTGGTGTGCGCTTGGACACCTGCATGGGGACTCGCGGGACAGTTATGACGCCAAAAGAGTAAAGCTTCACAACTTCACAACTGCAAGAAGATCAAACAAAAAGGGTGTCTACTTCATGCTTCCCCTTCAGCAATTGAAGCCATCATGGGACCACTCCACAACACCCCTGCCATGGCTGCAAGCTCACAGGCCAACCTTCACTGCTGCTGTATCTGTTCTTCAAGCAGATGGCCGTTGGAGGCAGGTGTGTGCGTCCTTCGATCCCGACAACTGGTGCCAGCTTCAGAAGGAAAATAAGGCAAATTAATGAGAGAGGATAAACATGGATAAACAGGGTATTGTCCATATGGGCTCCGGGGCACCATATCAACATGAGCATCATGAGCACCCTTGGCAATAAAGATCCCCGATTCCATCAGCGCATGTCAATCCATCAGCGCATGTCAATAGAGAGTCGTCGTGGAAGCACTGCTGCCAGGCTTTCACTCGGATTGCTGGAGGGGATGCAGGCGCTGAAGCACTGCACTGAATGCACACATGCATTACACATGCGGATTCACATGTCATGCTGGTCCCGATTCATGACTTGCATGCTAAGGATAAATGTTTCATAGTCATAGTGATTCATATTGTCTCACAATTTTAGACATGTTTTGTTTTCTGTGTTTTTTTGATCCATTCCAATGCAGCAGCAGGCATCGCGGTTGCAGGCAGTACCTTGGCTCGGCAAGGAATTTCTGATCCTGGATTTAGAATATGAGCCGACACACACACACACGCACATATATATATACATTCACAATATACCCCATATCCAATAACCCGCACTTTTTGTGTTCGACGCCTCCAAGCCACTACTCCTTCGGTTTTTTCAATACCTCTTGATTTTTTTAATCTCACGGTACAGCCGACTAGAGTCACTAGAGCTGAGGACATCGCTACATATCGGGAGGCGATTTTGTCTCTTGAGCAGGATCAGTATTGGAGCAAGGCCATTGATATCCTCGACAAGGCAGCTTCGTTGCGGTGCAAAAAAGAGTTGGTCGATTGGAATTTGTTGAAGTCTCGTTCCGAGGGCCATGGACCACGGATGTGATCACATTTGGCGATATGACTGATAGCGACTAGTTCCCATCAATTTCCGGCAATTTAGAATTCTGATTGCGATTAATATTAAGATTATGAAGTCCCAAGACTCCCAAGACTCCCAAGAGTGTTTTTGTTCCCCTTTGCGAAGTTTTGTGCCAACTCACGGGACATTGAAAATTATGCTGTACAGGATCGGAACTCCATGGAACTCCTATCAAACGTAGGTACAAATGTCGTATACAGCCTGAGAGAGCCTGAGTATGCCTAATGGCAACAGACCCAAGTTGTAGTTGCCACAATGTGCCAGCCAATCCTTGTTCAGGCGATTGCTGCCAGATTGCAACCAGATGAAGATGCATACCGTGCCACCATCAAAGCTCGAAGCTCAGCTCAGCATGGGCTGCCATGATGGCCCTATGCCACGCTGCGCCTTGCCGTCCTGAGGTTCTGCAAGGAGCGCATCAGATGGTGCCACACTCAGTTTGCCATGGGTGGGAATCGATGGAAAGGGAATGGCGGAATGGACATGAATGGACGGGAAATGTCCACGAACATTCCGGTGTTCACAGGGTGTTGGCCACACTTTACACCTACCCGTCCCACCTCATTTTGAAGGAAGCATAAGGAAGGCATTTCGAACCGAACCTATACTTTAATAATCTTTAATACTTTCCGATCTTTCGGCAGGCTGCTGTGCAGCGTTTGGAGGATGAGATCATGGTCTCAAGACTCAAGGCCATTCCTTGCAGCTGCAGGAGTGGAGAATGTTTCATTACCCCGTTCAAAGAAGGATCCGTGGAATTGAAATAGGATGAAATATATAGGTGCCTTCAGATTCTTCAGACATTTGACCATTTGCCAGCCCTGCCAATGTATGCAATGTCTGGCACGGATGGAGAACAACCAAGGGACCCCTTCCCATTGCATCTCGCTGCTCCATATCGATCCATATGTGGCAAGGCTGAAGACAAGGAAGGTCGAACAGCGAGCATGTCCAACAGGCAAGGTGTCAGGGATGGTGGATGCAATTCTGGTGAGGTGAACTTTTGAGCCCGACCACTTTCAAAATGCACACAGGCTGGTAATGTCAATCCCATCCCCCTCATGTTAAATACCCCCCAAACGACATCAAACGACCTCCCTGGTATTATACTATTGGATCTATCAGGATCATGAATTGGGCACCAGTGGCAGTAGCGGTTGCAACGTGTTAAACAATCCGGGGGATGAGACCACCTCCAGGGCAAGGAGGCATTTGCCGTATCGGTTTGGCCACCCATCTGCCACGAATGTGGTAAACTAGCCAGGGCATGCCAGGGCCACCTTCAAAAAACTTGCTTCACATTTCTGGTAAAATTGGGAAATGGATGTAAATGGTTTGTCATGGTTTATCATGGTTTATCTATGATTCGGCTTACCCCTTAAATGCATTGCCATCCAGGCTACTACGCCACATTGGTGGGGCTCTGAAGCCGGTGACATGATCAGCTGTGAGTCAGGGCCGCCGGGTTCCTCCAACAGCCTCGGAGCATGCGCGGGCTTGTCCTGCTGGGCCTGCGGAAACCTTCCTTTTTAATGTGTGCATTTGTCCAATATGTATTGGAACGACCGGTGGCCTCTTTATATAGTGGTTTCTGTCAGACTCCAAAATCATTAAAATCCGTCTTGGAACCTATATAGCAAATCTTGGAAACTATATTGGGAAACTTGCCCTGTAAGAGCGTCTGTGATGTAATAAGACAAGCGGGGACTCAACATATGATACCGCCAGCTACCTCACATCACACCCGCAAATGATAAGAACATAACCGTGACATGAGGCCGCCTGCGACCCCAAATGGCAAGAGAACATGTTGAAAGGGAAGTTAGCCAGAGCCACATGCCATATATGGTTCTATTCGCACGTCCTCGCGCCACTGACAATGAGTGCTTCGGAAATGTGCGACGATGGTTTTTGCTTTCTGTTTTAAACTTGCCAAACGCTGAAAATAAAGCCATGGCCACATGGCAGCATTGTCCGTAGGTCAATATGAAGAAAGACAATCAATATGATATAGTTGCAAACCCCGTAAAACAATAAAATTCAGGTATACCTGTGAACCAGGCACAGTCCGGAACCGTTCAGAATCGTTCCCGACCGGTCCTGGCACAGTGGAACAATGGCCAAAACACTATGAAATACAATTTTGCAGCATTATACATGTATAGTTGGAGCATCCCGTGTGCTAGGAACTGTCAGGAACGGTTCCGAACGGTTCCGAACGGTTCCTGGCTCACGGGATTTGCGCGCATTGCTGGCATGTTTTGACATTTTCTGGCTTTCCAGTACTAAGAACTGTGCTGCCAAAAAAATGTCAGGAACACGGAACAAGGATGACTTGTAGAAAACAGAGAATCAGGAAGACCTTCATACCAACAGGAACCCATGCCCCATGACCGCCGGAAAGCAAGCGCAAAGGCAGCAAACAATTTGACATGCTGTGGCATGATCGTGCGCCCCCAGAGCGCGCATCCGCTTGCATGCAACATGCAAGATGTCAGGGGGCCTCTTGTGCACTTTCGGGATCCGTTTCACAACATCTCGAACACCGCGAGTGGTGTGAATGGCCCACAGAGGGATTGCGAAATATTTCAACATGTTTTGGATTTTGGGCTTCATTCTTTATTTTTGGGCGTGCTATGTTTATGGGGTGCTAGGCTATGGGGCAAGGTAGCTGGCGGCAGCATATGTTGAGTCCCGGCTTGTCTTATTACATCAGAGAGAGTGCTACGGGACAAATTTCCAAATATAGTTTCCAAAATTTGTAATATAGTTTCCAAGATAGAAACATATAGTTTCTAAGACGTTTGATATAGCTTCCAACATGGGTTTTGGCCCACAGACAAAGAGGCCACCGGTCGTTCCAAAATATGTAATATATATATAGTTATGTAATGTTATGTATAGTATGTATATATAAAGTATATTTATGCATATAATATACTGTATATAATTCATGTAATTGAGTTATACATACATATTCATCTAAAATGTAAATTTGATTATTATTTGTTATTATGCGCATCTCATATTTCTCCATCATATTTAGACGTAAATGATGCTACTCTTGATCGATGGATTTGTTTTGATTCTGGCTCTGACATCATTTCTGTAAGCGCCTTCGACGGCAGCGCGCTGCTGCTCTTGATTTTCCACTTGTCCTCATTTGGTTGCAGAAAACATTGTTTTGGCGTCGCCTCGTGATCCTTCCTGGCAGTTGGTGTGGCAAAAACCTTTGTTGTTTTCTTGCAAAAACGGTAGCTTTGAAATATTGACGTACGGATGCGTTGATCTCTCAGTCTCAGTCTCTCTTTGCTCCCAAAAGACATGTTTTGAACAAATATCATGATGAAATCATGGGTTGGACAAACAATGACAAGAAATCACAGTTTGGACTCTTGACCTTCATTTCATTTCTGTTCGGTGAAGTTCGATCCCATATGTTTGCAAGTCCTGGCACTAGGCGGCAAGGTCGTCACTGCAGGAGCGTATGGCTCAAGCGTGGTAGGTATGATTTCCATGTCATGTTTTGCGTGGCTTGATGCAAGAAGCTGATTTTGCAGGTTTTTATTATCATTTTAAATATGTATGTTTCAAAATATGTCTATATATACATTTCAATTTTTATTTTCATTGATTTTTCATACATCTCCTGGTCGCTAGCTTGGTCTTGGAAAACCACGCGGAGCTAAGCCCAGCCAAGCCTTCTTCAAAGTGGGATGATTCCAGTTCCGCATAGTTCCGCAGTCCATGCGGTGTGTTGAACTCAGGAAGGATGCTTCTCTGGGTGTTTGCGACTGTTTCGCGAAGAGAGTCCTCCAGCATGGGTGGTGATCATTCGGAGGAAAGATCGGAGAGGGGCTGAGAGCTGGTCTCGCGAAGTCAGAGCACCTCCCATCCTCAAGGAGGTCCTAAGGGAGTCTTGGCAGCATCTCAATCGGTCTCAACCGGTCTCAACCTTGACATACCTTGCCCGTCCTTTCCCAAACATCCCATGGGTTTTATTCATGCTTATTCCATGCTTATTCCTGTACATCTTAGCTGCAGCTTGTTTTCTCTGTTTGAAAAAGCAGTGGCCGATAGTGACCACGGATTCGCCATGAAAATCACAAAAGGCCATGCAGTGCCTTACCATGTAAGGATGTGGCCAAGCAGGGCAACCCCAATGTGCGATCAGGTCGGTCGAAGCAAATCCATGCCAGCCATGGCCTGCATTCGCAACCTCACTGGACATGGGCCAAAATCATCCGAAATCCTTCAACTGTCATGGTCAAACATATTTTTAGTCAAACACAGAGACAAATGCAATTTTTATTGGAACCTGCAAGGTGCTGGTGCCTGAAACCATCTTAAACGAAGTCTTAAACCACATTTGACCCCACGGCGCCAGGTAGCTCCTTGGCCTTGAACGAGGCCGTAAAGCTGAACGCTGAGGGCTTGGTGAAGTCGTTGATCGAAGCGGATGCCAATCCGCAACTGAAAGATGGGCTAAACGAAACCGCCATCGAATGTCACTTGGATCATCTTGGATCACTACCTGGTAAGATGTAAGGAGCACTTGAGGCACCATGTTTTTTCCGGCATGTTTACCTAATTGGAAGACGGTGTGCTCCAATAGATGGATCACGTTGTATCAATGATTCACTGGTTTGTGACTGCCCAGGGTGGATTCACCAGCTACCAGTTGGCTAGTTTATTGGCGAGCATCATATTGGGCAACTGACCGATGGGAAGCAACTAACAGTAACTAACATGCAACTTAGGTGCTGAAAGGTTAAAGCTCACCAACCTTCTGAAGCTTCTTGAGTCGGACAGCTTTAAGAAACGGACCATGGATGCTTGGCGGCTCTGGGACCTCAAGGCCCACAGGCGTTTCAGAGATAGTGTATCAATGTGTATCAATCGTTTGAAAGAAATGCCACATATCCATACATACATCTGGTCCATATATCCATATATCCATCCATATGTCCATCCAAATGTCCATATGAGATGCGGTCAAAATAAGCGTAGACTACTTCAGTAAGGGACGGTCCAGTTGTGTTCAGAAAGTGCACCAAACCATGTAAAGCGATAGGCCCCCCCAAAACGATAACTTGTAATCATATGAGAGTGCATTAAACTTGTTGTAAACCAAGCAAATATTGTTGCGTGCCTTCACGCGATGGGCAAAATTGATGAGGAAAAGTCAACCTGCAGTGCCCACGTTTCTTGCAGTTGCCATGCCATTGTCCAAGGTGATTGAATCGTTGCTTTCTGCAGGCAGTTGATTTTCGCCCAGGTCCCAAAGCAGTAGAACGAAACTCAAGAAAATGCAACCGAATTCTGAATTAAATCAAAACATAATTTTACATAAATCTAATTCTGAATTCCGTCTATGTGCTTTAATCATCTCTAATCTAATTTGAATTTTGTCGTCCTTTGTTTCCTTTTCTTTGTTCTTCCTTCCCTTTTCCTTGTATTTTCCTTTTAAAGCTAAGCGCAATTGAATTCTGAAGTAAATCAAAATTGTTTTTGAATCCATTTCTGCACTCCATTTACTTGATTTGATTTGACCTTTCTTCTTCCTTCGTTTCCTTTTCTTGTTCCTTCCTTCCTATTTTTCCTTTTCTTTTTTCAAGTGTCCTTTTTGTTCCACGTTCCTCTTTCTTTTCGGTTCTTGATCATCAAGGTGTTCTAATTGAGCGATAACCTAGCGATAACCTTTTGTTGAAAAAGGGACCCCGGAGGAGGGATAGACTCATTTGATCCCAACAAGAAGAACTCAACCGAAAAGTGAACAGGTTCTCAACACTAGGCCATCAGGTTGTTTTGAGACTTGGGGAGCCTAATGCACTTCTTCATAGCCACGAACGTTTCTTTATTGGAACTATGACAACTATGAGGTCCCATCTTCAATTTCGAAAGCTTTTGAGCGGGGAAGTGCGGCGTTTTCCGACGCCATGGCTTATCAAAGAGGGAGAAGGGCGAGGTGACCCTTTTTCGTTTTCATAGAATCAGTGATCTTATAACCGTTGGGAACCATTGATCTTAATGAAGTTCAGAGTTGAGTTTGTAATAAGTGTCCTTGCTTAGGAAAGAGTCTAGGAATGTGCTTAGATAGCTCCCCAACCTGGTTGCAAACGCAAAGGCAACGAGCCCCCCTTAATCCATCCCCAGCAGCTTAGAGATCTGAATTAGCCAATTCCGCTGCATTTTTGTATTACTTTTTTAAGTGTTGATTTGAACAAAACACTGTAAAGCGACAGGCCCCCCCCAAAACGGATAACTTGTATTTTTGTACCAGGCGCAAACAATTCATTTTGACGGCGGCTGGAAAATACACACACACATATATAATTATATATACATATGTCATTATACATATTATACTTGAAAGTTTAGGAGTAAATCACGCCTTACTTTCATACTGTAAATCCCTCTCTTCCATGGTCAAATTCATGACACATGCCAATATTTGTGGTTCAAGATGCGCTGTAAAACGGCGCACGCACTTGTCACTTTTACTTGTCGTGTTTTTTTGGGGGTAGTTCCAGTTGTTCATTGATTCAATTATTATGTCCATCCATATGTCCATCCGTGTATCCATCCATGTATCCATCCATATATCCATCCATATATCCATCCATGTTTCCAACCATATATCCATGCATGTATCCATCCTTATATCCATCCACATATCCACCCATGTATCCACCCACATCCATCCATATGTCCATCCACATATCCATCCACATATCCATCCAATATATCCATCCATATATCCAGCCATATACCCATCCATGTATCCATCCATATATCCATCCATATCCGTTCATATCTTTCCATATTCATGTTGAAGATGATTAGATGTGAATTGATAACATTAAAGTCCTATTGAGCTCTCTAATTTCTTTCGGTTTCTCATCCATGATGAATGGCTCTGCGTCTAGCATTCCACTCGTGCACTCTGAGAGCCTTTTCTCGGCTTAGGACTTTCATGAGGGGCTCAAGCTGATTCAGAACATCCCATTGTTTGCCAACATTCATCCCTCAGAATATCCACGCTTAGCCGCAGCCTTCACTACTCGCAACTGCACCAAAGATGAAGTCATTGTGAAAGAGGGCCAGTCTATCAGTGAGTTGTCTCTTGCACATGCAATTCATTGCATTTCAGCACATTTTCCAAATTCTGTGTGGGAGTGCCAGTTTCAGCCAAAATGCCTGGATGTTGTTGTCCTGTGCTGTGCCGGTTTCTGATTGCTGTGAGGTTTCTGGTTGCTGAAGGGGTTGCTCATGTTCTAAGAACAGAGGGCACACCTCCGGAGGCCAAGAAGGCCCGCACTGGGGCCAAAGTCGGAGAGTTCCGACTCAGGAAAAGGTGCTATTTACATCTAGAATCTAGTTACTATAGTTGCCCCCATGCTGGTGAGCAATGAGTCCAGTTCTCAGCAAAACACGTTCCCGCAAGTCTTCCCGTCCCCAGCTTCCAGGTTTCCGAATATGCCAAGGGATCTCACTTTGGTGAGAATGCTTTGCTTGAAGATGAGATCTGCCTGGAATCGGTGGTCGCTTTTTCGGACATGTCATTGAAAGTCCTGAGCCGCTCAAAGTTTTTGGCCTTGGGCCTGAAGAGCTGGAAACGGCGCATGGCCGTGTTATCCATCGATTCGGATCCCACCGCGGTCAACGCCAGCTTGAAGCAAAAGTCAGCACAAGAAGCGGATCTCATCAAGAAACTTGGATTGGTTTCATTCATTCTAGTTGCCCGGTATGTGTTCCGAATGTTGCTAGTTTCATGATGTTTCATTCCCAATTCAACTTGCGTTTTTGAACTGAGATGGGTCCTGTAAAGCGTATTGTGTCTTATCGCGACAGGAAAGCCTTGATGGCGAACGAGAAGTTGGGACCATTGGTGAAAGGTTTCTCCAGTTCTGACCTGGAGCAGATTGCAAGCAATGCCTGGCGATTGGAGGTGCAGCCTGGTGAACAGGTGGTACAGCAGGGATCCATCAAGGCAGACAACTTCTATGTGGTCGCCAGTGGCCACCTTGAAGTCATCAAGGATGGGGAAAAGGTGGGATCAAAAACCAAAGAACTGCCGGTTTTGCAGAGATATGCCACTATTTTCGCCCAAAGGCCCAAGATATTGGTCCATATTACATATATATATACTGTATATATATATATATCCATATATTACTTTGCATTTCAATGTAAGTATACACAATATATATATGTATACATATTATATATAATTGAATTAATATTGAATATAGTTCTAAAATAATGGATTATCATGGATGGTAACCAATTATGATTACAATTTAAAAATAATATATATTATAACGCACTATAAATTCTAGCACACATACTTCGACACAAATGATATATACTTTATCAGTATCATCTATCATCCATCTCCATCCATAATTTAAACATGTTAAAAGGTCTTGGATCTGCATGGCGACAGCACCTTTGGAGAGTTGGCGTTGCTGTACCGGGCGCCCCGGGCGGCGACGGTGCGATGCTTTCAGAAGGCGACACTCTTCGTGGTGCCGCGCCAGGACGGGGCCCCAGCGATAGGATCAGAGGCGAAATGCTGTGCAGCTTAGGTGATATAAGTGCTATCTACCAGCATCTTCAAAGTGCCTCGTTTTCATTTTTGATATTCTAAGGTCTTAATTAGTCCACTTAGCCATCCCATATATCAAAATGAAAACGAGGCCACTTAGAAGATGCTGTAAGGGGTCACTTAGATATCAAAGGGTCACTTAGATATCAAGGGGTAACTTATGATATCAAGGGATCACTTATGATATCTAGTTTCCCTATTAATAGCTGTTGGGTCTTAGGTCAATGGGTTTTACTGTATATAGATGGTGTTTGGTGTTGATTGTTGGCCCCATGCCCCATCCATCCCATCATCTCTCACCTGCCCTGTTCATCTCTCACCTGCCCTTTTTGGACGACAACGTGCTGTCGAGCTTTGTCATCTTCAAAGCCAGGCCAGATGGATGGGAGCAAACCATGGGTCAATGGGCATATATATATATTAAATATAATTAGTTCAGAAGGGCTTTCACTTTCACTCTCATGCCCCTTCCATCTGTCTTAGCCATCTAACTGCCACAAAGGCTGCGTAGCGAGTAAGGACTTGTCTCCCCAGCAAATTGGGATGTGCCATTTTGGCCATCATTTTTATCTTTCCCACCTTAGATTTGTTCTTTGACTCCGTCCGTGAAATAAAAGCAAAACACAGGTAAAACATGGTACGTAAAACATGTTCAACTGAGAGGCCATATCTTCGTCACAGTAGCAGCTGGCCCAAAGTGGACCAATCCGCTGAGAACCATCAAGGACCAAGTGGTCCAGCCTCAACTCACATTTTGAAATCCTAATTCTTACCAATCTTGCAAATGTGGCAAAATTTCATAGTCAAGAGACTTATGAACTTTCGGACGCAATTTCCACAATAAACGTCCTTCAGAAATGGCCTCTTCTGCGAGCCCTTGGTTGAGAGAGACTTGTTGTTGGGATGAAAATGTGAGTGGATGAATGGACTGAACAATCTTCAAAAAACATACGCCAGGTCACCATTAAGGGCCGAATGGAACAGGTAATTTGCAGTCTCTAACTTGGAGTAGTTCTCAGGTGTCAGGAGTGGACCTTGACGTAGTGTCACAGCTTCCCGCATAGCGCAAGCGTTGATGAAAACAGCAGCACGCAGCCTCAAAGACCACATTTTCCCAAACCCCCCTGCCAACGTAAGCTAGCTTCAAGTTTGAACATGCCAGTGCCAAATCTAAGAAAAACCCAGGCTCTGACTGCATATGAACATTCTCAGGATGCTTGTAGGCCAGGCCAACTGTCACCCCAGCGAGCCACTTTGCCAAAATACCCGACTCCTCAATTTGAAACTCTTAGAAATGGGATATAGCTGATACAACTGGCACAAACAATTTCAAAACTCAGGCCAAGTCGGCTCCATTGAAATGCTTCTGGGCAATCGTCGGAAATGTTCGGGCGTTTTTCTGCAGGTGCTTCCTTGGCTTTTATGCTGTAGCATCATTTTTTTGCTATGGAACTCATGCCTTAAACTTCCAAAAACTTGTGCATGCTGGCAAGAAGCAAGCAAGAGAAATGCCCCCGGTTTCCTGAGCTACGAGTGGGAGGAAAAGGTTTGGGTGCTATGAGGGATAACTGCTTTCATGAGTGCATCTAAGAAGCTGATTTTGTGCCGTTTGCACAATGCAGAAAATTCAACATATGCCGCACGAAGTTTGTCATCCATTGTTGATCCTGGCCACAAGACCAAGAAAGGTAAAGATACTGCCTACTTCTAACCATCCAATACCAGAAAACAAGTGGTATGCACCTGGCCACAGATCATTGTCTTCCTTGCAAATCTCAATGAGTGCCTAATTGGAGGACCAAAGGTGGGATCTAGTTTATCCATTGGTAATTGGGACCTAGAATCCTAGAAATTAACCCATTGGTAGCACAAAGGTTGGTTGTAGATGCGATCCAGGCTACAGATGCTGCTGCATCTGGAATCAAGGCCAGGTCTAGCACATGTAACCAATCGTAGATGACCATCGAAGGATGGAACCCAGGAATCCGTACCCAGGGGTTGCTGCCACATTTGTCCGAGACGAACTCACCCATATCACATTGAGTGGTTCTGTGGGGTGCATTTCTCCCAAAAGCAGTGTAGAGGTGGGCTGAACTCGAACTGCTGGAGGCACGGCAATGGAAACATACTTCATCACTGACCCAAGTTGTTCTGACATGGTAGCACTTAGCCAAAGCCTTTTCGTCCCCCCTGTGCGCAAACAACACCCCCCTCCATCCATCAGCAATGAGGGCACCCTCCTTGGATTTCCTTTGGCCCATCACCTCACCCCATGGGGAATGACCCAGCCACTGGCCTGCGGCCAACTCTGCAAATGCCCAAGCTATCCAGCTGTCCAACGTGTCATATGTGCTATTGCATGACCTTGCGTTGTCAGTAGTATACAGTAGAAACCGTGAGTCCCAGGGAGATCCATGAACCAACGCACTACCAAACGATGCTACCATAAAGCTTCTTCTCCTGTGAGCTTCACCATCATCACAATGGAATATCAAGGGCACACATCGACTAAGATCAGTTTCCTCGGAGACACTGAAAATACAGCTGAAAAAATGATTAAACTATGCTTCTTAAGTAAGGACCAGTGCTTGCGAGGATCTGGGTCTGAAAGCACAGGGTGGTTCTTGAAGAACTCAGTTTCACGTTGATGCTCCCAGAATCTCAGGATTGCCTGCCAAGGATCAGGAAAGGGGAAAAACATTATTATATAAACTATATGTATAGCTGGGACACTCCAGGTTCACCAAGGAATCGCTTGGCAAAAAGTCGTCGGTCATAATGGTAGATGCTGGCAAACCTAGGCTATGTTTTTAGATAACCATAAATTTGATATTATAACAACAGTAGGTGTGTGCCAAGTAACACTTCGGAGGGCAGGAAAATGTGCCAAGACCCCATATAGTAACTTTGTGTCAGGGACTTGTCCTCGAGCACCGTAAATACCCTTGGTATTCAATCATGCTGGTGTTCATGAAAAGATGGAGATTCATATGAATTGTTGCAATGGGGAATTTAAACATGATAGCGCCAGGATACTCTAAGGCATTGGGTAACATACGTCTCCATGGTTGCCTGGCAACCCATAGCCAAAAGTTCCGTGGGGCATTGCGACCAGCATCCGCTGCACGAAGTAGATCATGCATATTTTTCCTGGGCCATCATTGGTGTTTAGGAGGATCACATGGGTCTTGTTGTAGCATACTAGTGAATGCTGACCAGGGGCGGCAGGAATTGCTTCGGGACCCTTCTCTTGATCACTTCTAGCATCTTCACCAAAGTAGAAACACTGACCTCGATCAATGGATGTATTTTCTTAATCTAAGGATTGGGGCCTCGTTCCAATATGTGAAATGAACATTTGAACATCAAAGTAAAATGCATCCAGGCAACCTGCCGCCCCAGTTCGATGAACTCTTCCACAATGTCCATGATTACTGTGAATGTAATACATAAGAAATGTAAATTGTATCATCCCGATCCCCTATTTGGGTCAAATAGGATCCCAAAATGTTAGATGTGCATTTTTTTTAAATGCATATGGTTCGGTCCCACAATTGTAAGTTTGATGGTCTGTTAAGTAGGTGTTTCACTCCTCCCCCTTTTAGGTTGATGGTATGTTGTTAAGTGTTGCACTCATCACCCCTTGAGCGACCCCCTCAGTGAAAAAAAAAAGCAGTAAATGCAGGACTAGCACAAGAAATCCAAGCTGAACTTTTATTGGTTATTCCTTAGTAAGTTGAATTGCACAATCAAAACAGCTGTTTCATACCGGCCCTTCAAGATTCCGATAGATCTATGTGATCAAATTGGGTGATCACCACCCCGAGAGAGTCACGATCATTTGATCATGTTAAACCCCAAAAGTTTGCCAGCTGCAGGTTCTTGGAAGCACTGTTGATCTTTTGAACATACATTAACTATGATTCAATGGGACACTTTCTGGGACCTATAATATATGTTCATCCTTGTACCCACCTATGCTGGGCAAACACGAAAACAACGCTACGTGCCACTGCCCTGCGGGTAATCCCACAGATTTCCATGCCTTTATAAGGGATTGGTGTAGGGAATCAAAATTACCAAATTAAATTGAATATGTTATACCCCAAAGTTTAACCCACATATCAAATTATCAATCCTCCTCATTGGGCGCTTCAGATGTGTCATCCTCAGCATCATCTGCCTCAGGCAGCGACGACTGATTCGTCTTCCTACGGGCTGGTCCCTTGACCAAACCTATGCGTCTCTTGGCGTCACGGAGATCAGTCAGGATGTCGTTCAATGGACCTTTGTAGTGATCAATAAAGTCCTTAGTTGCATGAATCAAAGTAAAATAATGGTTGTTTGAACAAAAACAAATTATGGGACTTTCAGATTGACTACGAACAAAGGAATCGTTTTGATCGGGATCATAGGGCTATTATGTGTAAGATAATCTAGCAAATCATCCATGGGGTTGCCAAACAGGGGTCATGTACTTCCCCTGCAATCACTTCCGAAGGCGGTGTTGACATTTTCTCCTGGACTTCCTTGGCCATGCCCGCTACCGCCCAGATGTGCTTCTCCATAACATTTACCTTGGGCCAGTGGGGATAGTTAATAATCCAAATCAAATGAAAAGAAATAAATCAGTTACTGAAACACATATGCCATTGGAACTATCTGGGGCTACAGGGTAAAGGCCATAATATCATATAATAGCACCTCTTAATCTTTGGGGAATATATACTTGTTTTGGGTGCTTGAACTGAAATTACCAACAGTGGTGCCCAAGTACCAATTCATCAGAATTTCGCACCTCAAATTCCTTGATCTCGTCCAAGAACTTCGGGATCTCATTGGCAGCTTTCTTCAACCTCGGCTGGGCAAAGAAGGGGAGAGAAAGTAAAGTTGATGAAGATCCCAAAAGAAAACATTTCTGACATAGTGTAA